CACGAGCAGTATGTGACCACAGTAGTAAGTCATGTAACACGACACTGCAGAGAATTGTACCAGTATCAGATTTGCGCAATAGTAAGTCATGTAATGAGAATTAACAATGGAACTTAGTTTACCAAATGTTATACATATCAAAAGTTGAAGAAAAAAAAATTTGTCATAAAAACAGAATTTAACAATTTCAAAAAAGGACAAATGTAACAAATAATTCCATTAAAATGGGTAGGACACATATCCATAAAATGCACACAGAAAGTAAACATCAAAGACAAAGTAAAAAATGTCATGAAATTTGACAAGATAATAATACGAACATGGGTAGAGATAGTAATGCTAAATATCATGCAAACTGACAGACAAATAAAATATGTGTAGAAAAAGTCAGACCAGTTAAGAAAATATGAGAATAGGCGGGAAAAGTAAATATCTCATGCATGTACAAAGTGTCACGGAAAAGGACAACGTGGAAATGTAATTATTACATGGACAAAATTATTAAAAAAACATGTCATTACATGGACAAACTGAAAAAAATATTTCATTAGAACCTTAACAAGAAATTTAGTTATATAAACTGGAAAAAGAAATGCCATTTCATGGACAAACTGAATTATAAAAAAAAGGCATTAAAATAGACAAGGTGAAAAATCTATTTAAAAATAACAAACTGATGAAATTACAGATAAAATATAATTACAAACATCAATAAAATCATTTTGCCACAAAACATTGTTGTGAATCTGGCAATAATGTTAAATGTAGAATTAAGAATCGACATCACAGCCTTCAGGACACTACCATAAGTGCTCATTTCACATCTTCAGCAGCAAGCGAAGAGTTCCAATTTTGATGGTACCAGTAATCGTCTAATTGTCTCATCCTTCCCCTGAGTGTTGAGCGTCGGCCAGATCCCTTGGTGACTCCTCCCTGTGACATTCTCCTCAGACCGTAATAATCTATCTGCACCTCCGCACTGTTCACTCGCTCCCAAAGGGCGCTCACAATATCTATGATAATCAAAGACACACTTCTCCCCGAGAGTGCTATGCCGACACCGCGGGTTGGTCCCTCGTGGGCTCTATGACAAGACTTACTACAGCACTCGGAATCCTCGGTACAGCCCTCATTGGACCAAACACAGTCCTGTGATGGGAACAAACAGAACAAACCTTCACTTAGTTGTACAGGTCAGATGTCATCCAGCTGTCAAAAGTGAAACACCATACGTCCCCACGAAGGACGCAATTTTGGTTATTTTTAAGCCCGACCTCGGTTGTTGTCTGGAGCTTGTAATCCCACCTCTGCCCGGCTCGCTAGCGTAGTTGGTTAAATCTGACTTCGGGGTAACCGGATGACGAACTCCTTGTGGTCCGGGTTCACGCCCGGGGATAGACAGAAAAGCCACATTTTTCCCAGATTTACGGTACCTATCATGGAATCAAGGCCGAAGGGTTGCGATATCCATAGGACCGAGCCAAAGAGTTAAATACTCATAGTTTCTGGATACTTATTTTTAAAAAAAAAACTCTGGGTTCAACAGGGTCTCTGGGACCTGTCCCCGGGCGATCCTCATCCGAATGGAGGCACTTTGTGTCACCGGGTGTCTATCGCTGGGTATGATGTCCTGGTGGGCTCGAAGGTCAATTTGTCAAAGGTTTTTCATCCCCCTCTCCCCGCCGCCCCACCACTTTTTTAGGTATCCACACAGTAACCCAAACAGAAAGCCACACAGAGACATACAAAGTTACACAGACAGTAACCATCATAATTACACAGACAGTAACCATCACAATTACACAGACAGTAACCATCACAATTACCTAGATATTAACACACTAAGAAACCTACATTGTAACCCACACAAAAACACACATAGCAACGCAGTAATCCACAGAGCAACCTACACAATAACACACATAGCAACGCAGTAATCCACAAAGCAACCTACACAATAACACACATAGCAACGCAGTAATCCACAGAGCAACCCACACAATAACACACATAGCAACGCAATAATCCACAGAGCAACCCACACAATACTGTTCAAAGAAACTCACACAGAAACATGCAATCACAAACAGCAACCCACAAAGTTACCGACACAGTAACACTCAAATTTAAGGACACGGCAACCCACACAATAACCCCCACCTTAACCCACATACTAGTCCAAACAGAAACCCACACAATAACCGCCCCCCCCCCCACATTAACCCACATACTAGTCCAACTAGAAACCCACACAATCACGGTGGTGTAGCGGCTAGTCGCTTGCCTGCGGATCAGCAGGTCGTGGATTCGGATTCTGGCGGTACCGGACTTGTTTTTTTAAAAAAATGACCTTGGCTCACATGTCGACCCAGCCTTGAATTGGATGATGCTTGAATGATGCCAATTAGCGCTTTTTTGGGTCTTAGTTCTGAAACTTCTGGAATTCTAGGGGGTTTTTACTTTTGAGTCTGATTAAGTGGTATTCGGGTTGAGGAGTTCCACTGTGGTATGGGGTGTGATGTGTGTCTAGGTAATGCGGTTCCCAATGTACAAGGATCACCCTCACCCGCAGTGAACTGTAAGTTTCACCTGGCTGGTCTAACCATTACAAGTATCCAAACTGGCAAACTCCGAATAGGTTGACAGTATCCAGTTACCATCTCAAGAAAATTTCCTGGTTATGCACACCGGGAAACGCCGGAGTGAAAGGAAACGAAAGAGCCGACACACTGGCCATGTAGCAGCTGGTAGTGTAAGACGTATGGACATCATCGGCGACAGGGTCGCTCACTAGTTGGCCGGTAGATGACTATGTTGCCGGTCGCGACTGTATTTAGGACTGTCTCCTTTGATCCCATAAACACTACAAGAGTCCTTTTCACGGCTCTTGGTGGCGTGTCACGCTAAGCCATTTTATATGGCGCCCATAACCTAGTCACAGTTATAACCTAAATCTCCTCTTTTTGGGGATGTTGGTTGAATGTGAAGATTTTTTCCCAGCTTAGTATCTACCTACTGCCCGTCTCGAGAAAGTTTCTTGGTTGTGCACACCAGGAAACACCGGAGTGAAAGGAAATGAAAGAGCCGAAAGATTGGCCTAGACTGCAGTAGTTGGTGGGGGAAAAGTATTCACTTGGCAGACATATTAAATGCGCAGCGTTCCAGAGACTTTGAAACAAAGCAGTCAAAGATAATGTAGTGCCTGTTGCAAATGGGTACTCAACAGTTAAGTCAAGAATTGAAATCACAGCACTTGGGGCAATCCCATGCGTGCTCCGTCTTCATCTTCAGCAGCCAGCACAAGAGTTCCAATACTGAAGGTACTGGTCACAATCTGGTTATATGTCCGTCTTGTCTTTCCTCTGAGTGTAGTGAGCCAGCCAGACCCCCTGGTTACACCCAGGTGCCTCATTGTCTCCAAGCCATAATAATCGTCTTTCTCTACTGATTCCGTTGCTTGTTCCCAAAGGACCTTGACCACATCTGCCCTGTCATGTACCAATTCACCATGCAGTGGTGCAGATCCAGCCAATCTGTCTGCCTGTTCATTGCCAACTACGCCGCCATAGCCTGGAGAAAAGATCTAAAGTATGCTCACTACTTGTGACCTTCTCAGTGAAGCTTGCCACTCTGCTCGAAGCATCACTATCTTCACCTTTCTCAAAAGATCTTCAGACGGATCAGAGGAAGCATAATGTAAACTGTGTCAGTGCACTGTTGCACCAAGAATTAGTAGCGTTTCAAATCATGAAAAATCCGAAAACACAGGATGAAAACTCTATCAAAAAGCCAGTCACGGCTTATTACAACAATAACTCCTATGCAAAGTAATGATAAAGTTAAAGCAACAGAGTTGCAACTTGCTGTAGGCATGACCTGCCATTGTGCAATACCCACAGTTCATCACCTAAGTGAAATCGTGAGAGTTCATGGTCGGGGGAGTACATTGGAGCACATACAGTTGCATAGAGCTAAATGTTCATATTAATAAAAAAAAATATTATATCGCCTGCTTTTAAGGATGACCTTATTGATGATTTTCGGAACAAGAAGTATGCCATCATTATAGATGAGTTTACTGAATTTCCACTCAAAAGTACTAGTGCATTATAGTTAGTTTTTTCAGTGACAGGAAAAATTATATATTTACTGGATTTCTTGCTTTAATTTCCTTGCAAGTGGCTACAGGAGAAAACTTATTTAATTTGATTGACAAGAAAATCAAAAGGTGTGGTCAGAGTCTTAAAAATTGCATTGGGTTTGCGTCAGATGGCGCTTCAAACATGGTCGGGTGCAAGAACTCTGTATGGCCCAGAATTAAAGATGTGTCTCCTTTTTGTGTATAGCTCAGATGTATCTGCCATTCACTAGCACTCTGCATTTGTAGTGCAATTGCCAAGCTGCCATCAAATATTGCTTTCTCACTGTCAGAAATACCTCAGTGGTTTCGTCATAGTGATTTAAGATGAGAAGACTATAAAGAACTGTTTAGAGTGATGAGCACATCTACGGAGTTTAAATCAGAACGAACTGCTCCTCTTCCATTTGAGAAACTGTCATCTACTAGGTGGCTTGTTCGTGGAAAGATTATGTTCAATATGTTGGTGAACTGGGAAGGAGCAAGGAGGCAAGGAACCAACAGTCCACACAAATAAGCAAGGTCTGTAAAGCGAATGCGCACGCAAAAAACTCAAGTTCTGGAACAAGATTCACTGTGTAGGATCCCCCCCTTCCCCCCCCCAATGTCCCAAATGCTATGAAGTCGATTCATAATTCAACATTCATTTAATATTTTTTCTTCCCACTTGCAAGAAATTTGCGCCACGGCCGGCTCCAGCTTCCTTGACCCGGTCGAGATTTGCTCTAGTCGAATTTGGGTTCGAGGAGGCAATTTAGCCGACTGTAGCCATCTAGCATGGCAGGTTTAGCTTAAAAAGACAAAATGTTGGCAACCCAGCTGTAACCTGGAAGTGGCCTGCCCCTGTGTACACGGAAACAACATGGCGGATGTTGACGACGTCTGGTCTCATTTGGAGGCAGATGGTAAATTACTACAATATCCCGGTCTACTTTTAACTATCTTTTATTATGTATGCAAAATATGACATTTCTTAAGCAACTGTCAATTCTTATTGATTCAAATGTCTGAAAATACAAAATTTTAGTTAGGAATGTTCTGATTCTGTTAGCTGTAGACAGTGTGTATTACTAACAGTGTTACTTTAGTCAAATTTTCAAAATGCCCTCTACACCAATAAAACCAGCACAGTTAGATAGCTGTAAACAATCTCTTTTCAATGGTACCTCATTTAGGCTTGTGTGTCATTTCTGAGCTGAGATATGTAGGTTTTTGTGGAGATGAGATGTAAAAACTGTAACGCTAGGAATGCTAACGAAGCTTTACATATTAGGTTTTTACTTAAAAAACCATCACATCTAGATAGAGATTAAAATTACAAATCCAACGGTACCTCATCGAAGCCTGTAAGTCAATTCTAAACGGAAATTGGGTTCTCCTTAAAACTACGGCCACTTATTATGGCGTACGCCGGAGTTCAGTCCCCTGGCCGCACTGCAAATATGTAGTGGACAAGAGGGAATGACACAAATGACGTAATTACTGTGTGTTGGCGATAGATGCACTGCTGTCATAATAGGGTTAGGGTTAGTGTATTGGTGTACTCCTTAATACTACGGCCACTCCAAACCCTAACCCTATTATTATTATGACAGCAGTGCATCTATCGCCAACACACAGTAATTACGTAATTCGTGTTGTTCCCTCTTGTCCACTTCGTAATTGCAATGCGGCCAGGGGACTGAACTCTGGCGTACTCCATAATAAGTGGTCGTAGTTTTAAGGAGAACCGGAAATTGTAATATTTTAGTGGCGGATACCAGTCCATAGATAGACAAATTATAGTGGAATCTGACAAAAGATGGATTCTGGGCTGCGGCACAGTGAGATTTAGGAATGAAATGACTAAATGTTTGCATTTTATGGCAATAACTATTTTGTTTCTTAAAGAATCACTTAGCAATTATACAGTGCTGGAATCGGGACAGCAAGACCTAACTATTTGCATTTCTAAAATACATTCAATACACTTTGGGCGTAATTCCCTTATAAAAAAGGCTACCAGCTTGCTAGTTTTAAGAATGCACTTTATGAGTTAATGATTTAAAGAGACTTTCAAGGAAAAAAAATCGACTTAATTGCAATTGGTTTTACCTCACACAGCTCGATCTGTTTCTACACAATGGCTAGCCACCTCTTGAGAACAATGTACAACCTCCATAGCTCTAGCAATGATTCCCAGAGAGCCTGCAGCTTTCGTACCATGAGACAAATGGCAACTTAACCAATGTGTGTTCTGCTTTTACTCTATAGTAAAAAGTGGTGTGAAAAAAAGTGTTTTAAAGCTTGAGAAAACTTTTCTCATGCTGTAAAAAGAGTCTTTTTTTTGGTACTTGGCTATTAAACAAACATCTCATGGTGTCCAAAAAAATCTCAATGTGTTGAAAGGGATCTCTTTTCCAGTTTTGCCTTGTCAGCAAACTCTTGGGAAAAGAGTCCATTTTAAAGCTTGTCTATAAAAATACTCATGACAAAATAGTTTCTTTCAGAGCTTGTCTAGTAAGCGAAATCTTGGAGATGCTTGGGAAAAGGGTCTCTTCCGGAGATTGTCTTATAAACAAATGTCTGCCACACAAATTGTCCTTGCTTGACCCTCTGTTCACTTTTGAACATAAGACGATTTTTGCTTTAATGTGACATTTGTGTTGTTTGTGCAAACAGATGTGTTCAGCAAATTTCTGGATGAGAGCTTTGATTTTAAAGCTCATGCCAACAAGGCAATTCAAGGGATGATCATTTCAGAACAGCTGGGGAAACTTGCAGAAGGCATCAGTCTCTTGGACAAAGAAATCCATTCTCAGGTAGACACAAACACTTTATAATTGTTTTCATGTGAGAGAGGGTGGGAGGAGACTGAGAGAAAGGGTGGAGGTGAGAAAAGGAGAGAGAGAGATGAGCTATTGAAAAGAGAGGTTGAGGGATTGAGAGAGAGGATGGGGGAGAGCTGGTAAGGGTAAAGAGAGAGGGTGGGAGGATAGTGAAAGAGAGAGGGGGGGGGTAGAGGGAGAGATAGGGGAAAGAGAGAGACATTTTATGCTCACAGGAAACAATTTTAATGTCTGCTGCAGAAAAGTATACCGATTTCAAATGTTTTATGTGATAGATTATATATGTTACAAATGTTGTATATGGTAGAAGATTTATTTTATGCATGTCTGAAAGTCTGTGGCCCAAGGGTTACAAATGCTGTTGGTGATTCCAAAATAATTTGTTCAATTTGGAAGCAGTTGTCTTGCATTGATTTCAACAGTGGTATGGAATGCTGACCCCTCCAAAAATAGCGGCAAATTCCAAATGTAACATAATAGTCAAAATAGCCAACAAAAGCTGGTACTGCTCTGCAAAGCAAATGCAACTAGTTTTTAATGCAAGATTTATGTAATAATAATGTTTGCATGCCTGAGATAATATACTGTTGGGCGTAACCTATTTTCTGTAAACGATCATATATTTTCTCTTTGGCATAATGTTTACTCAGTCATTATGGTCTGGAGAGAGTGGCACACCTGGGAGTGACCAGGGCATCTGGTTGACACTCTGTACTCATAGGAAAAGCAGGATGGAGCAAATGTGGAAATGTCCCGAGTATTGTGATGTCAGTTCTAGTCCAACACTAAACACCATCTGTACTTGTTGAGATATTTGATTTTATTTATTCAATTTGAAGTGATATCTTTCTTTCTTATTTACTGATATAGAATTGTTGTTTCAGATTGTGAGTCACCATGAAGACTTGCTGTCACAGGCAACTGGAGTAGAGACATTGGAAGGTAATCACTTGAGGATTTTTGTGTAAAATATAAACAGTAGAAGATACTTATTTTGCAAATTTTTAAATGAAACAGAAACATGAAAATATTGGTGGCAAGGCTTATGTGCATTTCTGATAATTACCACCACAATCACTAAAAGTTAACTTTTGTTGGAGATATATCCCTTTATCTCTTCTCTTAGGTCCCTTTCAAAAATTACTTTGACAGAACTATATTTCACTCTACCTCGCTTTAAACTTAGGGCCTGTCAAAATCTTTATGCTGAGAGGCAAGGAATGAGGTGTCTGCATACAAATAAGCCAGATCTGTTGAATGGATGTGTATGCAAAGTTTAGGTTCTGGATCAAGACCAAAGTCCAGAGCTGGACAGACAACTAGAACTTTTTGCCTATATAACAGACAATACACGTGTCTGTCTGCCACATTGTTAATTACTGGAGTCTCGGGTGTAATTAGTGGCAATGACTAAACATACAGCAGATTTGAGAGGTGGTGGAATGGCTCAGAGGGGCAGTAAAAACCTCAGGTGCAGTTATGGACAGTGAGGAAATATATGACAGTGGTGGAGACAAAGATGAAGAAGAGGACGGGAAAATGAAATTTTTTTTCATTTTTCTGGATGAAGCTGGGTAATTAAATATAGTTGTTTTATGAAACAAAAACATGTAAAGGTAATTACTGTATATTTTAAAAAAATCAGAAATGTAAAGCATATTTTATATATTAAAAAAAAAATATTTCTATACTTATACAGTCATAGTTGGTGATGCAGCACTTGAGTTAGTTATTTGTGTATCCTTTACAGGACATTGTAGAATCAGCCCCAGCATTTGTTGGCTGTTTTGGTCTTACTAGACAATTTTACATTCATAAGTTTGCCATTGCTTCCTGAATGGTCAGCTTTCGACAATCCCTATCAAAATGCAAAGCATTCTGCTGCCAGATTGCCTAAAGCTGGAATCAAATGAGTACCTCGGAATTCTGAAAGCGCATTCACAGCACCTAAGCCACAGATGCTGATGGTGCTAGAGTAAATGCTGTATGATTATGTCGTATGTGTAGTTGTCTGGGTAATTTTTGTCAACCAGTCTATCTGTTAATATGTACATTCTGTACCAGATTATATATGTAATGTTCTTTACCAGTGTTACAAAGTTCATGTCCTGTAACCAGTTGTTTGTGTCTTTCGAACATTCTGTACCAGATTTTATCTGTAATGTTCTTTACCAGGGTTACAAAATTCATGTCCTGTAACCAGTTGTTTGTGTCTTTCGAACATTCTGTACCCATGGATCAGTTTCGAACATCCTAGAGTGGAAAGACAGAAGGAAGTCAGGATAGAAATGAATTGTTTACATACTATGCTATGTGTAACGAGAAAATATTGACTTTGGAACGATGATACCAAGAAGGGAATCGGCAGAGAACTAGTACTTAAATTTATAGGTAGACAACAAGTCAAATGGTTTGGCCATGTAACAAGATTAGCACCAGACAGGGTACCACAGAGAGCAGAGTTATACAGATGCAATGGTAATAGAGCCAATCCGACAGGTGCAGATCCCGGAAACCCTGTTCAGCCATATAGCTCAGTTATACTGGATCACCACAAAATGGTTACCAAATAACATGTAGTCCCATGAGGGTGTGCTAGAAATACTTTAGAAATGGACTCTCAAAGTATGATCGTGGGTCACTTGCCTTTTGATTTTAGGTGTCCTGCAGATGATGCAGACGAGAATACAGTCCTTGTTAGCAGCGATGGACAGGTAACTGCGTTGTCTTTAGTTATTCCCCCTGAAATATAAAATGTTCAACTTTGAGGCAACAAAATTTCCACATTTTGTGCTTAGACCCCTTTGCAAGTTGTTTGAAGTGTTTAATGAGTCTGTCTTTTCTGTGTTTATTGTCTTTTTTTTTTTTTTCTGAGCATCAGAAATATTCAAAGACTTTCTGCATTTCTCCCAGTTTGGTGACACTTCGTTTTTCTGTCCAGGCTTCTACGACTTCAGGTGTCCACCCCAGTGGTTGTTGAAAGACAGCTTTCTTCTTTTTCGATGTTCTGTGTTCACTGTCTCACATTTGAGTCAGGCTGATGTGCAGCGTACTGGAAAGCATTGGCTGGTTTCTGGGACCATGTTCATGTGTTTTCATTTTTTCTTTAAACCAGGACCCAGCATAATTCCTGTGCTTCCCTCTAACCCAGAAGAAGACTATAAGTTGGAAAAGTGCGAACAACAACAACCGTTCTTTTATGCCAGGTTGCCAAACTGTCAAAAATCTTCACTCCAACGTTGTTATAATGAATTCCAGTTTTCCCTTCCATTTGATGGAGCAACAGAATTTAGATTGTTTATTTCTCACCTCATGGGTGATTGTCTGTTTCTCACCTCTTGGGGGATTGTCTGTTTCTCACCACATGGGGGATTGTCTGTTTATCACCTCATGGGGGATTGTCTGTTTCTCATGTCATGGGGGATAGTCTGTTTATCACGTCATGGGGGATTGTCCGTTTCTCACCTCATGGGAGATTGTCTATTTCTCACCTCATGGGAGATTGTCTTTTTCTTACCTCATGGGGGATTGTCCGTTTCTCACCTCATGGGGTATTGTCCATTTCTCACCTCATGGGGGATTGTCCGTTTCTCACCTCATGGGGGATTGTCCGTTTCTCACCTCATGGGAGATTGTTCTTTTCTCACCTCATGGGAAATTGTCCGTTTCTCACCTCATGGGGGATTGTCTGTTTCTCACCTCATGGGGGATTGTCCGTTTCTCACCTTATGGGGGAATTGTCAGTTTCTCACCTCATGGGGGAGAAATAGGCCCACTGCTCTCCAAACAAACGTCATTAAAAAAAACATTGGTCAGGGGCCACTAATTAGTGATGTTTCCTTCAATGTTGAAGTGCATCTGCCTGAGAGGCAGGAAACCAACAATCTGCACATAAATAGGCCAGATCTGTAAAACAGATGTGCACAGGAACAAGACCAAAGTACAGAGGTAGTGGACTACCAGAACATTCCGTTGGAGTTAACAATGGGTGAAGGATAAGAAGAAGAAAAAGATTGTCTCTTTCAGATGGAAATAATCACTTCTGTTCAGGAATTAATTTTTTTCAACGTTGTCATTAGACTTTTTGTCTGTCCACAACGTTCTGATTATTAATCTGTAAAACCAAATTTAAACAATTTCTCACTAATTGGCTGATTGTCCATGATTCACTTCCACAATTCAATGGCCAGATGCATTTACTGTATGCACATCTTTCTAGATTGTTCCGGGGACTAAATGTTTGTTCACCAGTTTTTTTCAGAAATAACAATGAGGGACATTTTTTTTTATTTGCACTGGCACCAGAACGAAGCAAATATGGGGAAACCCAATTGCAGTGGAGTTGAAGACTAGGGCATCAGCATTGGCTCTATATAGAATTACATAACAGTAAATGCTCTCCAAACCTTCTGATACAGATGCCAGTTGTCTGCAAAAACAAATTGCTGACAGACCACAACTATTTTCACAATCTCTTGCATTGTCAACACCACATAAATTGGAATCAGTAATACGCAGACATTGACCATATTCAGTAGTGTTGTTTGCATTCACCAACTGTAAACCCTGACGGAAAGACCTGGTTGTTCATTTATTTCTGGGCTTTGTTCAGGATCTGAGTTATGCATGTGCGTCCTTTTTACAGCTCTTGCTTATTTTTATGCAGACTGTTGGTTCCTTGCCTTTCAGGCAGATGCACTCTGACTTTGAAGGAAGTATCCAATTAGTCGACTCTTAGGACAAGCTTGTTGGGGAGGCAGTGGGTCTATTCTTGTTTTCCCACAATGAGACCCCAGAACCCACACGGAGATAATCAGTAGTATACAAGACTGTCACAGACCAAGAAGTTACACAAAATGGTTTTGAAGATGTTTTTTTTTTTTTCTATGGGTAGAATCCGTGCCAAGGTTTCGGAACCATATGCAAAAATACTGGCAAGGACGACTCAGCTGCGACATTTACAGGCAAGTAAAGAGAGATGTTTGCTCTTTGTGTACCTGGTTGCATGGACCCCTCCCTAAACATTCTGTTTTTTTAAATAATTTTTACAGTACAACAGTTACTATCAACTTAGGAACAGTTTGTGGTGGAGTGGTAGCACTGACTACTGTGATTCTGTGTGGATGTATAAATGTCTTTAATATCATCAGTCCATCTTCTTTGTCTGCACCCTCTTGCTTTCACACCAGACCTGTTTAGGTGTAATGTGTTGGTAGTTGTTGTGGTTGTATTCTAATGAGATGATCAAGCATTTGATTTTCTATTTCTCAGGTGTTGTGACCTGAATGTGTCTAACAGTATCATTTCTCACTCGGACAGTCTGACAGCATCATTTCTCACTCTGACTGTCTGATAGTTTCATTCTGAGGCCCCATTATGGAGGGAGGGAGGCATACAGATAGATCCAATGCCCCTCTAACAAACATGATGTAAAAGCTGACTGATTAAGGATGTTTTCTTCAGTCATAGTGCATCTGCCTGAGAGGCTGAGAAGTGATGAACCAACAGTCTGCATACAAATAAGCAGTTCAGATCCCTTGACCTGTCTGACATAGACCATACCAGTAGCTAAAATACCATCAGCAAAGCTGTTTAAAGAGTGGGGGGAGGGGGCACTGGAGCACACAAACACCTCTACCACATTCCCAGGCACTCTCCTATTCCCTCTTTCCCCTGCCTTTTTGGGCCTGAGTAGCACAGGTGTCTGTGCTTATCATCACTAATAGCAAGATTCTGGTCAGACACCTTTTTTATAGTCTGCCAGTGTTTGAATATTTCTCTGTTAAGAAGCCTGTGATTTGCTCGGACTTACTATCCATATTGTGTACCTCAGCAAGCACATTATGACCTGGAAGTATCTTGAATGGCTCTTCTTATGGTCCATTCCGTGTGGCATTGGCAGTCATGTCTGTACACAATCTTCTATCTCATGTACTTTCACTTAATTCTGATACAGATGATCTTCCATGCCATGATGTCAGACTGTCTATCATCCTTTCTCTCTGTCTCCGTCTGCTTATTTTGCTCCTCAACTTTCCCTTCATCACAATGTACTCTAGTTTTTTTTCCTCCCCATGATATGACCAAAGAATGTAAATTGTTTCCTTCTGAAATGGGCATTATATGATCAGGAACTTTTCATGTGGTTAAACCATGTTTGAAAAGCTCTCATTTAGGAAACCTGTGATTTGCTGAGGCGTATTATCCTTATCATGTACCTCAGCAAGTGAATGCAAGTCCTGGAGTCTCTTTTGTGGTCAGCAAGTGTTTAAATATTTCTGTTAGCAAACCTGTGATTTACTGATGCGTATTATCCATATCATACATCTCAGCTAGCGACCGCAGGTCCTGAATTATCTTATTTGGTTAGTCAGTGTTTTGATATTTCACATTTAGGAAACCTGTGATTTGCTGAGGCGTATTATTTGTGTCATGTACCTCAACAAATTATTTCAGGGCCTGCAGTATCCTGTATGGTTAATCATTGTTTAAATATTGTTCATTTAGGAAACCTGTGATTTGCTCAGGCGTATTATCCGAATCATGTATCTCAGCAAGCGACTTCATGGCCAGCTGGAGGGCGGAGCTAGAGAGATTACCAAAGCTGCTCAGAGTTTGAACGAATTAGGTAATTCTTGTTGTTGTTTGTGAAAGCTCAGTGATTGTTTCTTTACCGATATGTAGTAAGTTATGAACACTTAAAACAAAACTACATGTGAAATGCGCTGTCTCCTAGAGGTCACCAACAATACAAAAAGGGTCATTGTTTTGAATATCAGCATTGAAGTCCGATTGTGCCTTAACTATATTAAAAGGCAGAGAATGAAATGGTTTAGTCATCTAGAAAGAATGAGGTCAGGCAGAACTGTATGTAACACCTTCTATGCCAAAACATCTTGGCAAAAGATGAGAGGAAAAGATGGATAAATAGTGTGGCTGAATCTTGTACAAAGAAGAGCACCCAAGCCACTCAAGAAGTGCAAGACAAATGCAGAAAACTACAACACTGGGCCGCAACCTGTTAACAAGCTGCATATATGACGACAGAAGAAAAAGAAGTAAAATAATGGTTTGGGAAGTCGGATGAGAATCTTCTGGAAGACTTTGAACTCTTAAATGTTATGTATTGTATATTTCCCAGCCGACATGATGCTGACCACATCACCCACCAAGTGCCAATTGGTCTATACAAATATAGGTCTAGCCCTGTATTCCCAGTAGGCCTAAAGGCCTGGAAAAGGGACCTTTATTATTGTGTAGTTCCAAATACATCGAAGACACCAGTAGCAGATCCAGCAGATGTAACGCTAGAGACAACAAGAATTAAAGTAACAGATCAACTTAGTTAGGTCGTAATTTAGATAGTCACAGAAATACAAAGAAAGAAATTATCACAAGCACTGGTAAGGTGTCAGTAGCTTTTAAAAGCCTGAACATTCCTCCGAAGTCGGAGTACATCTGCCGGAGAGGCGGGGAACGAGTACTGCAAACAAATAAGCCAGTAAAACGGATGTACACGCAAAACTCAGGTCAAGGTAAAAGCCAAAAGTCCATTTTGGACGAACAACCGTGACTTACCGCCGGAATTCACAGCCGGTGAACAAGAAGAAGAAAAAGAAAAAAGCCTGAACAAAATATGGAGCTCAAAGTTGTATAGTTTTAAAACCAAGTTACATATTTTCAATTCTCATGTAATCTACAATTTAACATAAGCCAATGAAAGCTGGTGAACCACTAAAGACATGCAACAAAAGGTAAATGCATTTAAAAACAAATACTTCGCTATGGGGTTGATTCTTTGTAAACAATCAAACAGTTTGCAATCATACGATGTTGGATTATATAGTCTAATGTTATTTTACAAAATGATGGTTGGAATTACTTTGTAATGAAATGTCCCCAGACTATTTGTGAAAGTATTGATTTGGCTGATAAAACATATAATCATAAGATAGTGGGTTGTGTAGTGTAATGCTATTTATACAGAATGATGGTTGGATTGACTTTGTAATATGTCTTCAGACTATATCTGTGAAGGTGTTGATTTAGCCGGAATAGAAGTCATTGAACAGGACAGGAGGTTTGTGAAGCAGGCAAGGAAAGAGGTCCAAACTCAAGCACAGAAAATGCTAGAACAAGGCATGGAGACCCAGGTATGTACCCAGCTGCTTATTCAAAGCTTTTTCACCTGGAGGGTTTTCTTTTTACTGCAGACATCATAACTTATATTGCACTGCTACAACGGATTCCAGTTTGACATCCCACAACAAAAACCCAGCCTTTTGTTGAATTGGCCACATCCTGTAACATGCCAATTCACACTAGAGCGGAGTGAACAGAGAAGTCTTGCAGCCTCATTCTCACTTCCACGCTAGCGCCTTTTTAATCCCCAGGTCACACGAGTTCACACAAAACTGTAAACTTTGCTGAACATTTTAAGAAGCCACATGTGTGGATCCATCAATACTTTTTTAAAGTAATAACAGTCTGTGCTAAATTTAAGTTAGTTATGTATCCTTTACTGGACGTTGCAGAACCAACCCCAGCATTTTTTAGCTGTTGTGGTTTTTCTAGCAAATTTTACCTAAACTAGTTTGCCACTGTTTTCTGAACAGTTAGCTCTCAGTACAACTAATGCAAGACAAATAGTCCTCAGTTTGGATCTAACCTGGCATTACAAAGCAGTGTTTCGCCTAAGCCACAGACGCCAAAAAGCATGTTGAAAAAGATGAAGATGTTTTCCTTCAAAGTCGGAGTGCATCTGCCTGAAAAGTGAGGAACCAACCGTCTGCATTCATGTAAGCCAGATCTGTAAAACAGATGAACACGCAAAACTCATGTTCTAGAACAGAGGTTCTCAACCTGTGGGTTGCTACCCTTTTTTGGTTCGAACAACCCTCTCACAAGGGTTGCCTAAGACCATCGGAAAATGCGTATTTATTGAATTTATGAAGGAAAATAATTGTCTGGGGGTCGCCACAACATGAGGGAACTGTATTAAAGGGTCGCTACATTAGGTAGGTTGAGAGCCCCTGAACTAGAACCCTTTGCCAGAGTTTACTAGTGGTGGATGCTAAGAAGAAGCAGAAGAACAATCTGTCAATGAACGTTGAAGCGTTGAAGCAGACAAAAACAGAGATGTGCCTCTCTTGCAGCTGCACTCTGAATTAAAAAGAAACACCCCTGATTAGTCAACATGCTTGCAGTGGCTCTGTTCTTCCCTCTCCCCCCCCCCCCCCCCTCTTTTCCAAAATAGGACCCTCAAACACATGTAGCGACATTGATAGACTGAATCCTGACCGTCAGCATATTTTCATATTCTGTTTAGAACCAGACAGCGGTTGCCACAGCCTTGCAGGTGTTCTACAACCTGGGATGTCTGCATAATGTTGTCGAATCTGTTGTAGATGGTTGTCGTGCAACCCTGCACCAACAGGTGAGAACATACCTGGATGTTCAAGCTCTAACCATGGCCCATGGAAACTCTGGGAAAGGTTTGTACAACTGGTCATCATCATTTTGAATCTAATCTCATTTCCTTGCTTTTGCATTACCACCTAGAATATGTTATTCATCATTTATGACTATTTCAGCTATGATTGTATATGCTTTGATTGCATTAGTTGTGATTGTATCTGTTGTGAATGTATCAGTTGTGATTCTGTCAGTTGCAATTGTATCATTTGTGAATGTATCGAATGTGATTGTGTCTGGCAGGATTTTATAAATTGTGATTGTATATGGTGTGATTGTATCTGATTTGAATTATGATAGGGCTTCAAATGAAAACCTTAAAAGTCTGATTGAAATGATCTTATGAGTTATAGAAAGGTCCAGTATGGACACTAGCATTGTCCTCAACAGTCAGTTAGCATTTTCTTGATGAGGTTTTTAACAGTCGCAATTGACTCTGGGTTCACTACTCTGTGTGCTTCATCCGATGATGAACAGTCTATCACAGAAGTCACACTGTTTTGAAACCTCCAACTGCACTCATATATTTGCTGGATTGACAGGCATGCATCACCATATCTGTCCTTCATTAGCCGATAAATTTATATCGGTTTTGGCCCTTCACTGATTAAAATAACAGATAATCGAATGTTGCTCCTCTTTAATGTATGTCTGAAATTGGGGGGGGGGGGGGGGGGGGGGGGGGGGGTCATTAAATTGTCACCTTGATGTCACTGTGTTCATCTGCATCATGTTGTCACATGCTTAACACTCTTGCCATCCTTAACCACAATATTGATAAACCTTTACGACAATATTGAAAATCATTTACAATATTGAAAATCCGTTACAACAATATTGAAAATCCTTTACAACAATACTGATAATCCTTTACACCAATATTGATAATCCTTTACACCAATATTGATAATCCTTTACAATATTGATAATCCTTTACAACAATATTGATAATCCTTTACAACACTACTGATAATCCTTTACACCAAAATTGAAAATCCTTTACACCAATATTGATAATCCTCTACAACAATATTGATAATCCTTAACAACAATATTGATAATCCTTTACAACAATATTGATAATCCTTTACAACAATATTGATAATCCTTTACAACAATATTGATAATCCTCTACAACAATATTGATAATCCTTAACAACAATATTAATAATCCTTAACAACAATATTGATAATCCTTTACAACAATATTGATAATCCTTAACAACAATATTAATCATCCTTAACAACAATACTGAAAATCCTTAACAACAATATTGATAAGTGCAATGGCTTTAATTTGAAGCTCCCTTGTATTGTGATTGTATAAATTGTGATAGTTATGATCGTGTCTGGTTTGATTGTTCTGTTCCTGTCTCAGTGAATATTCACACAAAATGCCCCTCACTGCCCCATTTCTTCCTTTCTTCTTCTTCGTCCTCTTAGCTTCACCGGCTATAAACTCCAGTAGAAAGTTCTGGTTGCTCGTCCACTTCTTAATTTTGGTTTTGTTCCGGAATTTGCATTTTACATGCACTTCAACAAATGCAGATGCACTCTGGCTTCAAAGAGAATATCTCTTTATGAGTCGACTTGTTCATCAAGCTTGTGCGGGTGCGTGGTTTTATTCCCTTTGCCCCAAAATGGGGCCTCAGAACCCTCAGAAACTGTCCCATTAACAAAAATAATCCTGGCTGTTATATCTGGTATATTTCCTGTGTGGGTTCCAAGGCCCCATTAAAATGACAACAAGAATAGACTGACTAGGGACTTCCTTCAAAGTTAGTATGCATCTGCCCGAGTGGCAAGGAAACCAGCTGCACACAAATGAGCCAGTAAAACGGATGTACACGCAGAACTCAGGCCCTGGCACAAAGTCCAAATGGATGCACAGTCAGGACTTTCCTCCGGAGCTTACAGCCGGTGAACAAAGATGAAGATATCTGGTATAGTAAACTAGACACGCATTGTAAAAAGCAAGATTGTGTCATGAGCCATCGTTACATCTCTTGTTATGGTGTCTGTTCCGGTGGTGTAATTTCTTTAGGGCACCTTTCCGTCTTTGCAGATGATAGTGTTATGCTAAAGGGAGCCATAGCAGTCACAACCCACGGTGATGGCGAGTGTGACCCACAAGACCCGCTTGTATAACACAAATTAATTAGAGCGTAGGATTTCAGTTGCCTTCGCATATGGAGCCGGTGTGGTCAAGAAGGTAGCAACTGGCATGCGGAACTGAGGGTCGCGGGTTCGGGTCCTATCTTAAACTAATATGCAGTGGTGTGCATTTTAATATTGATAGCATATCATGATTATATCCATCCAAGTAATGTTATCATCTAATGTTTGCATTATCATTATCTTCTCCAAGATTATTTTCTACTTCAATGTATAGGCTCCAGGCTTTGGGGTATGTTGGGGGGGGGGGGGAAGGGTGGGAGACCCACTGCCCCCCAACAAGCATATTGTAAAAGTGGACTAATTAGGGATGTTTCCTTTGAAGTTGGAGTGCATGTGCCTGAGAGGCGAGGGACCAAAAGTCTGCATGCCATACAAGTAAGAATAACCTATAAAATTAATGTGCACACAAACATCAAGTTCTGGCACAAGACTAAAATTCAGAAGTGGACAAACAACCAGAACTTTCTGCTGGAGTTTACAGCAAGTGAACGCTAAGAAAAAGATGAATTTCTACCTGTACTACATTATCATGAACATTGTTCATCATGCACTGTGTTATCATCATCATCATGTTTCACGTAAATATTCAGGTGCCCCAGGTAGGGCTGCCATGCCAACACCTGGAAATGCGGCCACCTTGAGAGCTAACCTCTGGACCAACATGGAGAAGCTGATGGACAACATTTATTCTGCCTGTGCCCAGGTAAGCAGCTTGTCATCTGCCAGTTATACCAGTGGTCAGTCAGCTTGCTGTAAGCCTGTTAAAGCCAGCCACTGGTACTGCTTTTTAGTTGTAGCTTTGGTTGTATTCAAATGCCAGTGGTACAACTGATTGTTAATAAAAAAAAAAGTTATTTGCGTATCCTTTACGTTGCAGAACCAACCCCAGCATTTTTTGCCTTTTGTGGTTTTTCTAGTCAAATTTTATGTTCAATAGTTTGCCATTGCTCTCTGAATGGTCAGCTCTTGTTACACTGACAAACCCAACGCAAGACAAATCATCCGCAGCTAGGATCAAACCCGGCATTGCGAAGCGCGTTTGCAGCACCCAAGCCACAGACTACTAATTACCTATTGTACAACTGTGACTGGTCAGGCAACTTGTAATGCCTTTACACTATCTGTTGTGGCGACCGCTTGTACGAATTGTTTGTTGTTTAAAATCCCAGCAAACATTCTCAAGACCTTGTATTATGAATGTTGTTGTTGTTTTCTGTCTCTATTCTTTTGCTGTTTGCTTCTGTGATGCCTCTTTCTTCTTCTTCTTCTTTACGTCCCCTTTTACCACTTCGGGCGTCGAGAGAGAGAAATATGGCTCTGCTTCATGCTCGTCTGGCTGCTTCGACCATAAACACATCGAGGTGCTGTAGAGTTTCTCTTATATTATCTTCCCATCTTGTTCTTGATCTACCTCTTGCTCTATGTCCCTCTCCTCTTTTGTTGTATGCCTTGTATGGTATAGCATCAGATGCAACTTTACTGTACTTTTATTTATTAACTTCATTTTCATCTAACAACACAGGTTTAGCTAAATGTTTTGTCAAATACCTCACAGGTACAACACTTACAGAAGGTTCTGTTGAAGAAGAGAGATCCAGTGTCTCATGTTTGTTTCATAGATGAACTTAGTCAGGTCAGTTGTTAATTTTGTAATACTTTTATAAAGGTGTTTAATCATGTGGATTAACTTCATTGCATAAGGTTTTATCCCATAAAGCTCAGTGTGGATTCCACAGCTCTAGTGATGATCCCCAGGGATAACAACTAGGGCTGTACCGAATATTCGCTTCATATTCGCTTCGGGGCCGAATAGTGGACCTATTGGCTATTCGTTATTCGGCCAAATAGTTGCGGTCAGGCCGAATATGAATAGTAGTTACCTTACACCTGCCTCTGCATACACAGCCTTAATGCTGACAACATGGAACAATTGGTTTTGTTGAAAGCTAATGCAGCTTTCATGTATTACCTAACTGTCAGTGACAATTTCCAAGTTTAGTTACTTTTTATAATACTTAGGATTCTTTCATTCTTAGTTATTAGTTACCACAGACTGACTGAAGGATGCAAAACATAAAATGTTTTTAAATGTTTACTATTCTGTACGAATACTAACTAGACATAGAAAGAATATAAACTCCGGCTACATCCAAGTCGATAATATGAAAATCAAACAAACGGAAACATATAAGTACTTGGGTGCAAACTTCAACTGCTCGAACATGCTGAGAGAAGAAATACAGTCTAGAATGCAATCTGGAAATAAAGTATACTATGCCCTTCAACATCTGCTAAAGTCAAAGTGTCTATCTCGCAACACCAAGATCAAAATAAATAAAACGTTGATAAGACCAGTCGTTTTATATGGCTCTGAAACTTGGAGCACAACTAAAGGAGATAAAGCCTTATTGCATGTTTTCGAAAACAGTCTTACGACAAATCTTTGGACACATCAAAGATGCTAACAGCGAGGAATGATGAGTGAGAAGCAACAACGTTACACATTATCTGTTTAAATCATCATTGATCACTGGCATCATGAGAGCTAACAGACTAAAATGGTTGGGTATTCTTCCCAGACCCACTCTCTACTTGTGCTTTATAGATTACACCAAAGCATTTCAGCAGTGAAATAGAAAGTTAACATTTTCCATTTGTTTACATGTTGCAGTATGAAATGTTAATGTGAAATTGTTGAATTCTTTTATTGTTAACTTTTGTCATTCTTTCTTTTGTCATTGTTAACATGTGTATTGCAGCACAGACACGGGGATGTCAATATTATTCATGACTTCTGGGAGGACATAACCAGGATGTTGAGGAAAGAATTTAATGATGCTGCAGAAAGTGAGTGAAATTTTTATTTTTAAACAATTTTTTTTAGCCTAAAGTCTGAACCTTGAATTAGATTTCACCAGTTGTTTATCCCTTTCCTCTTCTTAAACAACCCCCAACCTCCCTCCCCTCCCCTCCACACACACACACACCACCATCACACAAAATCTTTACCTTGAATTGTGTATCTCTCTGTCATCGACCTACACAATGTGTATGAGTATACTTCTTCTTCTTCTTCGCCTTCACCAGCTGTAAACTGTGACGGAAAGTTCTGATTGTTCGTCCACTTCTGGACTGCAGTCCTGTTCCAGAACCTGAGTATTGCATGTGCATCGGTTTTACAGATCTGACTCATTTTTATGCGACTGCTGGTTCCTTGCCTCTCAGGCAGACGCACTCTGACTTAGAAGGAAACTCCCAATTAGTCGACTCTTACGACATGCTTTTGGGTAGGCAATGGGTCTTATTTTTTCCGCCTATAATAGGTCCTCGGAACCCACATTGGGAGATATGAGTGTACAACATGCGTGTAAATGTGATAGTTGTGAATGCAACAGTCTAGGCGACAGAAGTGACGCACGAAATAAATACTGGGGTTTCCCCATGAAGTTGAAATTAACACACTGAGGCGCGACGGAACATAATGAGAGAGGGGTTTTAGACATGAGAAGAAGAACTGACCTTTCTTGGACTGTGCAGTTTTTAAAGGACATTATAGACTCCATAGTAGTTTACCTGTTGCTATACGGTGTCGAAGTTGTTGCTGCAGTTGTAGTTGTTAGTCTTGTATATTGTTAACAGTCTGATTAATTCGTAATCAGCTAAAACTGTTCATATTACAATAAAACATCCATCTTTACTGCCTACGCTGTTGTGCAACCCGTCATGATGCAGTTATGAGCTACGCAGCTACCTATTACATCTTTGAGAAAAACTGTTCACTCAACACCTTCAGGATTCCATGTTACTGGAGCCATGTCCAACCCATAGAGACAACTTTATGACACCCTCAGCTCTCCTTAACCCAGATGTGTATATAAGTAACTCCACTGCCTAATTGTTGTAGCCAGTCTTTAAGTTGTTTCAAACACATACTGTTGAAGCTGATCAAAGTACACATGCTCGATAATGATGGTTTCTTTGAAGAAGAAGTGACCAACAACCCCATCCTGCAGCAGTCCGTACCAGTCATACGCCTTAGATGACCTAAGAACGAGCTCATGAATCTGTCTCAGTGTTTGTGACCCCCTACCTAGATTACAACACACTTCTGCATACACCATCGCAACAAAGTTTACCATTAACCAGTCATTTGTCCTTTTCCTCCCCCCCCCCCACACACACACACACACACATGCACACAAAACACCCATGCACCACCACCATCACAACAGTCTTTATTATAAACTACATTTCACCATTTGTTTTTCCTTCCTCTCCTCTTCTTCTTCGACCCCCCCCCCCCCCCCTTTTTCCACACACACAAACCTCCTCCAAAATCACAGTTACATTAAAGTCTATACTGTAAACTATATTTCACCAGTTGTTACTCCATCCTCTCCTCACAGACTCATCATTCCTGAAGCAAGCATTCGAAGGTGAATATCCCAAGCTACTGCGTCTCTACAATGACTTGTGGCGGAGGTTGCATCAGTTCAGCATCACGCTGACTGTGACCCCTAGTGCAGGAGTTGAACTGGCACCAGGGAAGGACAGTTTGGATAACTTCTTTGTGCAGACAGAGAAAGCAGAGCAACATTATGAGTATGTTGTATGTTTTGTCTTGTCTGTTGTGACCAATAAGTTTGCGTAAAGATTACAAGATGTGTGTGTGGTTGCTTGACCCTACACACAGATTGCAAATGTATGTGTGGTTTATTGGTTTACATGCAATTTAGAAGATTTGCTTGTTTGGTATGTGGATTTTTTACACAAAAATTGCAAGGTATGTAGTTTGTTGGTTTACACAAAAATGTCTTCTGCTGTACACTCTGGCCAAATGTTCTAGTTATTCGTCCACTGGTCTGTAATCCTGTTCCAGAACTGGAGTTTTGCATGCACATTCATTTCACAGTTGTGGCTTATTTGTGTGCAGACTGTTGGTTCCTTGCCTGTCAGGCAGATGCACTCTGACTTTGAAGGAACCACTCCTAATTAGTCGTCTTTTGCGACATGCTTATTATGGGGTCAATGGGCCCCCCTCCACTTTACAGGGAGGGGTGGGGGGGGGGACACAAATTTGAAGACATGCATGTTTGGTGTGTAGATTTGTTTTTGAAAAATGAGTAAACATATATTAGAAATTAGTAAACATGTATTAGCAATGAGTTAACGTATATTAGAAATTAGTAAACATGTATTAGAAATGAGTTAACATATATTAGAAAAGAGTAAACATACATTAGAAATGAGTAAACAGACATTAGAAATGGGTAAACAAACATTAGAAATGTGTAAACGTGAATTAGAAATGACTAAACATACATTAGAAATGAGTAAACATTCTTTAGAAATGAGTAAACATGAATTTAAAATGACTAAACATACATTAGAAATGACTAAATATGTTTTTAAAATGACTAAACATACCTTAGAAATGAGCAAACATGAATTAGAAATGAGTAAACTTGCTATAGAAATGAGTAAACATGAATTAGAAATGAGTAAAAATGAATTAGAAATGAGTAAACTTGCTATAGAAATGAGTAAACATGCTTTAGAAATGACTAAACATGCTTTAGAAATGACTAAACATACATTAGAAATGAGTAAACTTGCTATAGAAATGAGTAAACATGCTTTAGAAATGACTAAACATACATTAGAAATGAGTACACTAGCTTTAGAAATGAGTAAACATGCTATAGAAATGACTAAACATACATTAGGAATGAGTAAACATACATTAGAAATGAGTTAACATGTATTAGAAATGAATAAATATGAATTAGAAATGTCTAAACATACATTAGAAATGAGTAAACATGCTTTAGAAATGAGTGCTTTCTCTGCCATACAAGTGAGTAATACCTTTGAAACACATGAGTATATAGAAGCAGAGCTAAGACATCAAACCTCTGTGTTACAGCTCAGAGAAAGCTCTCAGAGAAACACTGGCTCTGTTTGAAAATGCCTACTTGTCCCGTTCTCTGTCGAGATTATTTGACCCCATCAACCTTGTGTTTACATCCAACTCATCCAATCCACCAACATCCGAGGAAGTGGATAACATCGTCAAGACAATAGCCAGGTATGTTTGTTTTTGTTATTTTAATATGCTTCTTCTTCACCTTCTCCAGCTGTAAACTCAGTCAGAATGTTCTGGGTGTTCATCCACTTCTGGACTTTTGTCGTGCTTCAGAACCTGAGTGTTGTATGCACATCCGTTTCACACATCTGGCTGATGTGTACACAGACTCTTGGTTCCTTGCCTCTCAGGCTTATGCACCCCCGACTATGAAGAAAGCTCTCACGACACGCTTGCTGGGAAGGCTATGGGTCTGTTCTTGTTTTTTCCCCACAATGGGACACCAGAACCCATACGGGGAATGTTGGATTAAAAATTGACATCATAGCACTTGGGACATAAGCATGCAGTGCAGAGAGCAGCCTTCTGTACAGGACCTGTTGATTGGTAATGATGATGTAATCGATATTGTGCAAATGTATCTGTATCCCAAACAAGAGTTACATATTCTTTGCAGGATATCACAAAAACAAAACCCGTAATTTTTAAAAACAATTATTTGGGGTTTCACTATGCAGAATTATATTCAGTAGTTTGCCATTATATCTTCAGTGAGCTGAACGTGTCAAGCGTGGACACCAAGTTGAGCATCACTATTGCCAAAAATGCAGCTAAAACTGTCAAGCTTTTCTGTGTCAAGACTGAGCAGTTGGTATGTTATTCTCATTGACCATAAGTTTTGTAACATTCTTCCTCACTGATCACAACTTTCTGTCCCATTGGTCACTTATTTTGTAACATTCCCTTTCATTGATCATGTGTTTTGTAACATTCTGTCTCCCTGATCATATTTGTGATGTCCTGTCTCCCCTCATTGATCACATGATTTATAACATTCTGTTTCATTGATCACATATTTTGTAACATTCTCTTTCATTGATCACATGTTTTGTAACATTCTCCCTCATTAGTCACAAGTTTTTTTTAAACATTCTGTCTCACTGATCATATTTGTAACATCCTGTCTCCCCTCATTGATCACATGATTTAGAACATTCTGTTTCATTGATCATATGTTTTGTAACATTCTCTTTCATTGATCACACATTTTGTATTTGTAACATTCTCTTTCATTGATCACATGTTTCATTGCATTTTCTTTCATTGGTCACAAGTTTTGTAACATTCTGCCTCACTGATCATATTTGTAGCAATCCCCCCAAAATTGATCACAAGTTTTGTAACATTCTCTTCCCCCATATTTGTCTACATTACTGCTTAAATAAGTCTGAGGTGATCATTTGAGATGTGAAAACATTATTGCTAGTACTTAGTGGCACGGCTCATGATGATGATTGATCTAGGTCAGATTTGGCCCCACCCGCTAGGATAGTTTTCCAGTGTCCAGCCTCTTGAACAGTTCTGGTTGTATCCTACAGTTGTCCACTGACGGAGAAGCAAGCCAGGTCATTGGGCCTCAGTCTGCTGGACAGATCCGTAATGTTGCCATTGTCAATATCTTGTACCAGTTTCATCAGGCAGTGTTCAAGGTTGGTCTCTCACCTTCTTTATCTCTCACATCTCTGTGTCTACTTAAATTTGTCTTTCTATGTATATTTGTCTTTCTCTCTCTCTCTCTCTCTCTCTCTCTCTCTCTCTCTCTCTCTCTCTCTCTCTCTCTCTCCTCCCCCCTCTCTCTTTTTTTTTCTCAGTTTCTCTTTGGCTATTTTTCTCAGTTTCTCAACTTATTTGTCTTTTTCTGTCTTGATTTTTCTTACTGTCCATCTCTCAATGTTTGTCAATCTACCTAGCTATCTGTGTATGTTTCTCACTGTCTACCTGTTCTGTAGGCAAAGTCATATCTCAGAGTAGCTGCAGACAAGAAGCATCTCCTACTTGAAGCCCTGGGTAGAACTAAGGGTTACAGACTGAAAAGAGGAAGGTCTTGGATAGCGCAAGTTGAAGACACAATTGGACATGTTCAGGCTTGATAAATTTGAGCAAGGAGAGGAGTGGGTCAAGGTGTCTGAACAAGTTTCAGACTTGTGTAGGGTTCTAATCACTTTAGGTCGTAAGTGCAGGGACTGGCCAGCTGATGCTGCAGGATCAGAGGTTCAACAAATGATTCATTAAATTTCCACCCAAGTGATGTGGTTATCTCTACAGATGGCTCTGTATAAGGGGCGGACGCAGTGCATGGGGGTTCATAGCAAAAGCAAATGGACGTCGCTTAATGCAACAAAGCCTGGCATATGATATCACAACGTCTGGTTTGAGAATGGAGGTGGAGGCAGTTACTGCTGCCTTCTGTTGGCTTGAGAATCAGCTGTACACACATGCCCTGATTGTACCTGACTCACAGAGCATGTTGAGAAAGGTTGAGACAGGTATGTTCCATGCAGAATGGCAAGCATCACTTCAGAGGTCCCTGGTAGTTAACATCCTTTGGATATTCTCCCCAGATGATGGCGGTGTGTTGGGAAATGAGCAGGCAGATAGACTGGCCAGTTCGGCACCACTTGGTGGTAAACTGATGTCCTGACAAGCTCGATTTTGTGAGGGCCCCCTGGGAGCGAACAGTGAGGAAGCGCAAATCGATCATTACGGTCCTAGGAGAATGGCGCTGTGCGGAGTTACCAGGGAATCTGATTGACACTCAACACTCAAGGAAAGGGTGAGACGGATATACAATCAGTCAGTTACAGGTGTCGATTCTTAATTCAACATTCAGTTGTGCTCCAAGTTTTAGAGTCATATAAAACGACTGGTCTTATCAGCGTTTTTTTTCTTTTCCATATTCTGGATAAAATCCATTGCAACATTTGATTCAACTCTAGGTACTGTCTGGTGTCTCCCATTTTCCTAACGAAGCCAAAGAAAGTATTGAAGTGGCCCTGGAGTCGGTGGTTCAGCTGATGAGAAATGCCCTCCAGCCACTTCTGTCTTCCATCTCTGATGCCCTGGAGGCTATTATCCTGACCATCCATCAGGAAGATTTCTCTGGGTGAGTTTTGTGTTGCAGTCTCCCTGAGTTAGTTCCGGGCCACATTATGAGGCAAAGTATAATTAAGCCAGGCTTCAGAACCCAGACAAGGATTTTCTCTTTTTTTTTTTGCAGTCATAAAGCCATTCGGCTACAGAAACATAGAGTATTTGGAATGTTTCATATAGTGCTACTATTTTCAAATGCATTCGCATGGGTAATTCATGTAGTTTTGTATTTCAGATTGATTCAGTCTAAAAATGTTTGGGGCATGTTATCTATATCCTATTTATGTCGCTGTTGATACAAAACACATTCACAAGTGATCTCCATTGCTGCCTTTTCTGTTTGTGGTATCTGATGACATTTCACATTTCCATTTCTGCTGTCCTTCTCCAGGTTTCCTTGGGTCATTTACATCTCCTTTTTCCATATGCCCTTCATTGGAGTGCTGTCCTTGCTAAAGTGTTGTATAACTTTCTGCAGATATGTCCTAGCCATCTCCATCTGTTTTTAAAAAATGATATTTGCCGGTGATGAAAATAGTTTCCCTCATTCATCTGCCATCCGTTGGCGTGCTGTCCTTGCCAAAGTGTTGTATAACTTCCTGCAGATAGTCCTAGCCATCTCCATGTTTTTTTCTTTAAAAAAAAAAAACATTCCCAGTGATGAAAATAGTTTCCTTTGTCTGCCCTCCATTGGAGTGCTGTCCTTGCCAAAGTGTCATATGGCTGTCTGTAGATAAATGGAGGCTGAGTGGTCTCGAGACATGGTGACCGCTTCGAGTGCTGGAGGTCCCTAGTTTAGGCCTTAACGAAGGCTAGGATTTTTTCACGTGCACTTCTAGTAATTACCCCCGGTGTCTGGGTCGAGTGCCTGTGTGTATTGTTGCACACTTAAATAATCCCTTGGCAGTTGGAAATCAAAATAGTAGCCTTACGGTGCTGCCTGGGCAAAATTTGGAGTTTAAAATCTACCCAAAGTATTTCAAGATCCTCGCCGGTGCAACAGAGTTTGTGCACTGAGCAGACAATCTTCAGACTCAAGCTTGAGTTAAAAGTAGAACGGAGCAATTATGGGTTACTACCCTTGTGTAATAATGTTGATCCCCTGTATAAACCTTTAAAAAACACCTAATCTGCAGACATGTCCTAGCCATCTCAATCTGTTTTTTGTTTTAATGACATTTTCCGGTGATGAACATAGTTTGCCTCATCAGTTCTTCGTTGGTGATCTTGTTTGGCCGAAAGATTCGCAGGATTCTCCTGAGACATTTATTTTACTAAATACATTTAACAATTGCATGATCCTTGAGGGAAGTACTTGGGTTTGGTTTCTACTTTGGACGGTTTATTTACAAAATACTTGTACAAGAGTCACACTGTGAAAGAGCGTGTGGCCTCTCCACACAGTAGTCCCAGAGACAGCAGTGTGTGCAATATAGCCAGCTACTTTTGTGGAGACGGAACAGAATATACCACATTTTCTGTGCATAAGATGAGATTTTTCCCACATTTCTTTTTTAAGTTTTAAATTTGGGGTTGCCTTGTACACGGAATGTGTTTAAAACATTTATTTCTTCATTTTGGGCTTAAGATATAGGGCTGTCTTTTATACGCAAAGAAATACAGTATTTTAAAATATGGTGGCATGGAAATCACAGCTCATGGCAATGAAAAAAGAAACAAGCAAAGACCTGCTTGTGTCAGCCCTTTCACCCCGATGATGTGGAAAAAACAAAGCCAAGCTTGCACATTTTGCATTTTTAAGATATTCCCAGGGAGGGGAAAAAACATGCCTTTTTAAAAAAAAAAAAACCATTTTACGCATCACACCCACACACAAAAATATTGCATGAAATCCACATATCATTCAAAACAGGGAAGAATACTGTAGATGGTAAGGGGGGTAATCAATAAAACAAATGTAGTTTAGAATCAATCGGACCTATAAACTAATTATAGCATGACACTTACTTGACCTGGTCACCCAATAAGCAGTGTAGCCAATAAGAAAAATATGATGTAGAAATTTATGGCTCTCCTAGCAGATTTGGCCGGCAAGTAGGTCGGCTTCGGTCGACGTAGTGGGAGTTCTTTCCCTTGGCCGCACTCACAACAACGAGCGGAAAACATCACGACTCAAACACGACAGTGAGGTCGACATCAGGACTGCCAATGCTTGGTTGTGTCCCCCAGATCTGGGTTTTTCTTTTGACGCTGCGGGAAAATCTGGGTTTTTTTGTGTGAGTGTCTGTCTGTGGGTGTTTTGCCGATCTGTAAGCTTTAATAACCGATAAATTTGCGTGGTTAGGGGTTGGGTTAGGGTTAGCGGTAGGATTAGGGTTTGGGTTAGGGGTAGGGTTAGGGTAGCGTTACGGTTAGGGTTAGAGTTAGGGTTAGGGGTAGGGTTAGGTGTAGCGTTAGATGTGACAATTGTGACGCCGTAGTTCCCTATAATCGCGCACAGTCGCATGCACGCGCAAACAGTCGACGGACGGTGGATGCTACTGACACGGACAATTCGCCACCGATTGGGCACCAGCCGCGCGCTAGTGCCGTCATATTTGCCACACTTCCAGTGGCGCCACTCCCACAAACATCAGATTGTCGGCCAGTATTTCGACCTCTTACATGAAAATTTTAACATCTAACCCTACCCCTAACCCCTAACCCTACCCCTAACCCAAACCCCTAACCCTACCGCTAACCCAAACCCTAAGCAACCCTACACGCAACCGTATGACGATGATAGACACCCTACGCAGCCCTACACGCAACCGCATGATGATGATAGACACCCTACGCAGCCCTACGCGCAACCGTATGATGATAGGTAACCCTAGATGCAATTGTACGCACCCGGATGCAACCCTACACGCACCCGGATGATGATAGGTAAGTATGTCATTTGATTCGTGACTTTTTCCGTGACTTGTTTTGAGTGCGGCCAAGGGACAGAACTCCCACTACGTCGACCGAAGCTGACCTACTTGCCGGCCAAATCTGCTAGGAGAGCCAAATTTCTTTAAATAAAGCCATTTTATTAAAAGACACACCCCCCCCCCCCCCCCCTTTTCCTTTTTTCCCCTCGATGCTATTATTAGTCAATGTAGTCATCCACTGACATGCTGAATATTTATTTGTGCAGAAACAGATGCAAAGAATTCTGTTAGCTAGACATCTCTCAAATGTCTCTGTAGCGAGCTGAGAAAGCAGCTCTCACAGAGATAAAGTACCAGCATGATGTGCAAGTTGTGTGGCTTCTCTGCGCTAAAGGGTTGAGAAAAGTTTCACATGGCTGCCTACGCCCATGTGTATTACCATGATACATAATGATCATGGTGACATCGTATTAGAGATGTGTTCATTTCAAATTGTATATATCTGTTTCCAGTCCGGCACCAGGCAAGCAAGACAGTGAGCCCCCTTGCTCTCTGTACATGAGAGAACTTCAGAGTTTCATCTCCCGCTGTCAGACTGACTACTTGTCACATTTCCGATGTCAGAATTTTATCATGGACAGGTGGGTTGTTTGTATCTTCACAGTTTAGCTGGAACAGGTGGGTTGTTTGTATCTTCACAGTTTAGCTGGAACAGGTGGGTTGTTTGTATCTTCACAGTTTAGTTGGAACAGGTGGGTTGTTTGTATCTTCACAGTTTAGCTGGAACAGGTGGGTTGTTTGTATCTTCACAGTTTAGTTGGAACAGGTGGGTTGTTTGTATCTTCACAGTTTAGTTGGAACAGGTGGGTTGTTTGTATCTTCACAGTTTAGCTGGAACAGGTGGGTTGTTTGTATCTTCACAGTTTAGCTGGAACAGGTGTTTTGTACAATATACACCAGTTGTACTGTACATGTTGGCGTCTGTGGCTTAGTCGTTGCAAACACGCTTCGCACTTCCGGGGTGCCGGGTTTGATCCCAGCTGCAGGCGTTGATATCAAGAAGCCGACCGTCCAGAATTCACTGGCAAACTACTGGACGTAAATTTACCTATAAAAACCACAACAGTCAAGAAAATGCTGGGGTTGGTTCAGCAACGTCCTGTAAAGGATACGTAAGTAACTGTACTGTACATAGTCATAGAATCTTCTTCTTCGTCTGCATTCGTCTGAAGATATAATTGGGTTGTGCCTGTTTATAGTCTGACTGCGATATCTGCGCCTTTTGGCTGACCGAGTTGTGCAGCCATTTGTTGACCGGGGTTGCTTTCCTAGTAGTGGTAAAATAATAGTTATTCTGCATACTCTTCTTCTCCTGTGTTCACCCTTAACTCTCTCAGTCCCATCAACAATCAATGCCTGAGCCGCAGTTGACTGTGCAGATCAGGCAAAGGTTGGTTAGCTATATCATTTGCATCTGGCCTGAACATACTGACAAAATCTGGTACGGCATTTGAATATGCAGCATCCTAAATGTCACCTCTTTGAGAGTAAACATTCCTGCTTTTCTGGTTTTTTGCCCCTTTTAGGCGTCTGCTGCAAAATCTTTTGGGGACTGACAGAATTAAAAGGAGGTTGTACCTTGTAGGTCTATACCAAATAGTGATTTTTTACTATTTGGCTGAATACGAATAGCAGGACCAACTATTCGACCGAATACAAATACAAATAGTGCATCATTATCGTCAGGTGCCTTGCCAACTGTCGTGGGCAATTATGCCTCGCCACAATCTGCCATCTCCTGCAGCATGTGTTAGTTTGAGTGCTGACGCACCTCCATGCCATGCAACAAGACTGTCAAGAATCTTCTCTGGTTGTCTTCCTCAATCCTTCCTTTCACAGATCTTTCCAGTGGTCACCACTTGTTCCATTTCCCTCTTCTCATAACATGGCCGAAAAATGATGACTGTCTCTTTCTGATGTCTGTGATTAGTTGTTTTTCGGGCTCCTGCCTCTTTCAAAACCTCTTGGTTGCTTTTTTTTTTGGCTGTCCAGGGTATTTTAAGCATTGTTCTGTAAAACCACATCTCTGGGGCCTGAAGAAATTGTTTGGCCTGCCTACCAATTGTCCAGGACTCGCAACGCATTGCCTTTAAATATAAGTGCTTATTGACGAGGCTGACAGTTAGTATTGTACAAACCACATTTTCCACTTTAAAATTTCAGCCAAAATGTGAAGGATGGAGGATCGGTCGCACCTCGAGATAAATATAAAAGACAATTTTTAGCACGCTGTGGTTGGCATTTTTTGCAGTATGATAAACTTTTAGTGTGAAACAAGTAAAAAAACTCTTTTCAACACTGGCGAGGAAAGACAATTTAAATTTAAACTTCTAAGCATGCCTTCTTTACTAATGTTACGATTGATAGCAGACTTTTCTTGATTTTCGCCGCAACATCCCTGGCATAACCAACCAGTTTGAGAACCTCTGCTGTAATGCTTTGGTCGAGTCAGCAGGGAAAGCTCTTGCCAGCTGCTGTACCCCGCAACTGGGTCACAGTTTGCCCAACTACGACAGACTGAGGCAACAGCAACTAAATGCTGTGGTTGGTTCTGCAACGTCCTGTAAATGGTACACAACTCACTTTGGGGGTGGGGGGGGGGGCATGGATCACCTCCTTCAGATGGCTGCAGAACCCACACTTACCTCCCTCAGATGGCTGCAGAACCCACACTTACCTCCCTCAGATGGCTGCAGAACCCACACTTACCTCCCTCAGATGGCTGCAGAACCCACACTTACCTCCCTCAGATGGCTGCAGAACCCACACTTAACTCCCTCAGATGGCTGCAGAACCCACACTTACCTCCCTCAGATGGCTGCAGAACCCACACTTAACTCCCTCAGATGGCTGCAGAACCCACACTTACCTCCCTCAGATGGCTGCAGAACCCACACTTACCTCCCTCAGATGGCTGCAGAACCAACACTTACCTCCCTCAGATGGCTGCAGAACCAACACTTGGAATATATTATTTTAGAACATACAGGGCATGTCACATGTTGCTAGGTGAGGCAGTAGGCCTAGTGGTAGGAGTGAACCAATATGTCTGTGGTCTCGACCCAGCCTCATATCATCGTACTGTTGTTCCGTTATACATCACATGGGGTTTACAGTCTATTCTTCCATCCCATTCCATCCTGTGCTTCTTCTTCACTTCCTCTTTTACCACTTCTAGTGTCGAGGGAGATGTAAAGCTCCATACTGTGCAGTTGCTTCAGTTACACAGATTTTGCTTCTGTGCTGTAATGTTGGCTACATTTGTCTTTTTCTTTTTACAGCATTCTACCACTGGCCGTTCGTTGTGTTGAGCTGTTTGTTCGACATGCCAGTTTGGTTCGACCTATTGGGGATGGAGGGAAACTCAGACTGGCTGCAGATTTTGCACAGATGGAACTGGCAATTTCACCACTGTGTCGGCGAGCAACCGACCTGGGGAAAACATACAGACTTTTGCGTGCCTTCCGGTAGTATACATGCTGTCTGTTTAATTTTCAGTCGGTTTTAGTCTAGGTTCCAACATCTCTGTAGATGGGCCACCCTATAACTGCTTCGGCTTCTGTACCAGTGGAAATCACTAAAAATGTGCTTCCAGACATCAGTATGTGAATTTTGTGTACAGAATTGCAATTCTAATAGTAGAAGACTATTGGTGTTCATACTCTGGCTTCAGCCTTTTGCGTTCAGTTCATGTGCATGCTGTGGATCTTGTTGGGACTACAGCCTGTTTCAGGTTTCACAAGGGGTAGTGTCAAAAATGCTAGGATTATCCCTTTTTTGTATTTATTTTTTTTATTACAGTGCAGACCTGAAAGGAGAACTCACCAGTTATTAGAAATTCTTTATATCAAGATAAGTTTAGGTTTAAACAATGGATCATCATCATGGCACAAGGGTAGTAACCCATAAGGGCTGCTTTTTACTTTTAAATCAAGCCTGAGTCCAAAGAATCTCAGCGCTGTGCATGAACTCTGTTGCACAGGCCAGGATCCTGAAAATGCTTTGGGTAGATTTTTAACTCCAAGTTTTAACTCCAGAATATTCAGATAAAGAGTTCAAGCAAGAAAAATTGCTGGGGTTAAACAGATTGTTCTTCACACAAAAAATTCGACATATTGGAGATCACCCAAGCGGTCTGCACTGTAATCTGTTGGTGCAGTGTAAAACAAGGAGAATGGATTTCATTTTGAAATGAATGGATTAAGCTTGAGTTGTAACAATTTAAGCGGTTTGTAAGTTAACAAACAAAAAATGTTGTTGTTTAGGGTTTGAAAAAAAAGGTATTATGCTGAACCTTATACCAAAACTCTTTGCCCACTCACTGCTCATTATTATTAATGTTATTTTTTCAGACCGCTACTGTTCCAAACACCGGAGCATATATCTAACAGTCCAGCTTTAGGTGAAATACTTCCATACAGTACGGCACTTCATTTTCTGTTTGCAAGAGCTCCCCCAGAGCTGAAGTCTCCACACCAGGTGAGGGATGCGTCAGAATTACACATAAATCTGGTGGGTACACTTCCCCTGTGGGGTCCTGGGGGGGGGGGGGGGCATTGTGGGGGGAGAGAATAGACTGGAGTGTACAGCCTGTGAACATAAAGAAGAATCCCCGTTTGGTTTCCAGGGGCCCATTGTTGGAAAGACTAGAATAGACCCAATGCCTGACCAAAAAGATGTCGTAAGAGTTGACTTACTGAGCTTCCTTCGAAGTCGAAGTACCTCTACCTGAGAGGCAAGTAACAAGGATTTAAGACACCCTACTGACATGGCTGGCAAAAAAAACCCCATCTGAACGTAACACACAACTGCCACAAAGAAACATAGAAATCAGGAAAGACGTAGTGTAAAAAGACAACAGTTATTACCGAAACTAATTTAGAAGCATGATTTAATGTGGTCAAATGTGTTTATCCTCTTAAAATCAGAATCCTTGGACACCTGCATTATACAGACACTAGATGGAAACACCTGCACGTTGGCGGAAGAAAAAAAACACAGTAATATTGTACCCTACCAGGCATGGCCTAAGAGGCCACTAAGGGTAGGGTTGGACATGCCTATCTGTAAAAAGCTTCAGTCTCAACAGCTGGCCAACTTTGAACATGCCAGAAAGGGCTTGGCACAAGCTAGTTGAAGTTTACTTCTTTCTGGCAACACTGGGCAAAAAACAAAAAAAAAAGAAGCATAAATCCATCTTGTCACATGCAATAAGCATTGTTTTATTTTAATCACATATCACGATAACAGTGTCATAAAACATTGTCACATTCAACTTGCAGCACGTACAAAAACATGGTATTGTGTTTTTAACCCTGGATTTTTAAAAAAACATTTTTAAAAAAAATCAATTCAAATTTTCGCCTATTTAGAGAAAATGCAATACGACAGTTTACCATACAAGACATACACCAAAAGAAGAGAGGGATGTAAAGCAGGAAGTAGACCAAAAACAATATAGATAGATGACATCAGAGAAAATACTATAACAGCATGATGTGTCCATGTGAAACTGGCCTAGACGTGCATAAAGCAGAACCTTATGTCTCCCTTGACACATGGAGCGCAGAAAAAGAGGAAGTGAAGAAGAAGAAGTTAACTAAATAAGAATCTAGACAGTTTTACAGACCAAAATGTAAACATTTGTAAGTTTTATAGACATAAATATAAGCAGATAAACTTATCTCCAAATATCTTTTCCTAGAAAAACATAAACGGAAATTATAACTTGAGAGGTGAGATGGCAGGAAAAAAGCAAGAAGAGACAGTCACCGATAAACAGCTAAGAACAACGGTAGGCACAGTGATTTCACAGAACATCAAATAATCAAATGGTTTGGCCATCTGGTCAGAATGAAATAAAATCAGCCGGTATCTGGAGCTTACTACATGAGAATAGCAGAACAAAAGAAGAAATATCTTTTTAAATAGTTGTGTACTTTTTGTCTGTGTGCTCGTTTTAAAAAGCTCCACACTACTGTACACTGTTTAGGAAATACGTTTCTTTCCCTACAGGTATCAGATTGGTCAGTTAGTCGATACTCCCAGTGGCTGGACGACCATCCATCAGAGATTGACAGGCTCAAAGTAATCAAGTAAGGGCTGTTTAGTCAGTCAACTCAGCCATTAGTTTGTATACATGGTATAATAGTGTGTTCATTCAGTAAACTAGGGCAGTATTGAATTACATGGCATCAACTGGGTTCATTCATGGAAAAGAAGCATTAGTGGGTGCACATGGGTAGCATCTGAACTAGGACAAAAACGGGTATAAAGGACCTTTTTGTTTTACAATACGCATCAGGCATGTGTTGCTTACTCAGGGAGTCCGTGTGGCGTTGGCGGCTAGACACCCGCCTGAGGATCGGAAGGTCGTGGGTTCGCGTCCTGACGGAGCCGGACCTTTATTTTAATGACCTACCTTGACTCCCAGGTCAACCCAGCCTTGAGTGGGAACAGGTGCAGTCCTGGGAAATAAAGGTGGCAGGCATAATGCTAACCGTTTCACCCACCAAGTGCCGATTGATCTAAAAATTTAGGTCTAGCCCAAATTCCCAATACGCCTAAAGGCGTGGAAGAGGGACCTTAAGTTATGTGTTGCTACTCATATTTTATAGGCCAGTCGGCACTTTGTGGGTGATGTGGCCAACATCACATCAGCTGCCTTTACCTTCTAGGATCATCATCATGTAGCAGCTCCTTTGTAGAATGTCACTGTTCTCATGGTCTGCCTGAAAGAAACGCGGTCACTCACCAGCTGTCCGCCTCGTCTACTTTCATATTTAAGGAGTCATAATCCTAGGATAGTGGGTGTTATAAAAAAAAAACATCAGCAACTGGGTTCATTCAGTAAACTTATCATTATTATCATCCTGTAACACTGCATGTCATTGGGTCACCAGTTTCTGATGACTGTCTCATCAGCTCTCTCCACCTTTGGTGGTAAGTTGCGATGGACTTCATGGTTGCATGCCTGAGGCCTGTCTAGTCAGTTCTGTAACCAGGTCTTTCTTGGTCTGCCTCTTTCCCTCTACTAAGCCCTGCAGTATTGTTTTTGAGAGGCCGTTAGATCTTATTACATGTCCACACCAGTGCATTTTTTTTTTGCCTTTTCACTGAAGTTAAGAGGTTCATGTCTGTGGCTTCGGCGTTGCGAACGCGCTTCGCAATGCAGGGGTGCTGGGTTCGATCCAAGCTGCGGGCCTCGTGCTGGTTTTAGCAGTGGAATCGAGAAGCTGACCGTCCAGAATTCATTGGCAAACTAGTGGACATAAACTTGCCTAGAAAAACCACAACAGCCAAAAAAATGCTGAGGTTGGTCCTGCAATATCCTGAAAAGGATAAGCAACTAACTAAGAGGTGCATAGTTGCCAAAGTGCTGTATAATTATATGGTGAATCTCTTCGTTTGTAATGTGGTCTCTGTATGATATGCCAAGAATTTTTCTGAAGCATCGCATTTCCAGTGCTTGTATCTTCCTCAGCTGTTAAGGTCCATGTTTCACAGCCATATGTAAATGTGCTAATAGCCAGTGCTGTGAGCAGTCGAATCTTGCATGAAATGTTTGCTGCTTGGCAGTGACTGATGTCTGGGCAATCCTAGACATGATTTCTGGTGTTGACCCCAGGTCACTTAAAATAGATCTTACATATTTGCAATCTTCTTCTTCTTCTTCGCGTTCACTGGCTTTAAACTCCGGCGGAAAGTTCTGATTGTTCGTCCACTTCTGGACTGCAGTCCTGCATCAGAACCTGTTGCATAAGCATCCGTTTGACAGATCTCATTTGCGTGCAGACTGTTAGTTCCTTGCCTCTCAGGCAGATGCACTTCGACTTCGAAGGAAGCTCCCAATAAGTCGACTCGTACAATATGCTTTTGGGTAGGCAGTGGGTCTATTCTTGTTTTCCCAGGCCCCAGAACCCCAACGGGGTATATTTGAAAGGATTGACTGGTCTATTTATGATCTTTAACGTACATTGGTGAAGTCATGCCAGCTGAATTATTAGTCATGACTTTTTTTTTCCCGAGTTTATTTCCATGCCATACTTGGTCGATGTTTCATCGAGCAGATTTACAAGCTCGACTAGCTTTTGTTCTTCCCTGTCCAACCCATTGATGTTATCTGCAAACCTTGTTTGTTATAGTTATATCTCATATACTAACTGATCCATGATGTTGTTCTCAGGTGTCAGTCATAATTCTTTCTAAGAAGATATTAAACAGTGTTGACGGACTCCTACAGCTCTCTGTTTGTCCGTTCAGCGTGACAGCACTACTGGTCTTTGCATAAAGCTGTTCTATACTGTGTATGAGGGTTTTACCCATATTGAACTTTTTCATAGTGTCCCAAAGTGTTACATGCCATACTCTGTCAAAAGCTTTTTTGAAATCAATGAACTCATTGTATAGATGTTTTGGTGCTGGTGGTAATTGCTCTGATATGTGTAGATTAAAAATCTGTTAAACAGTGCTTCTTCCAGCATGGAAACCCGCCTGTTCTGCTGCTATGATCTTTTCTGCATGCGGCTTTAGTCTGTTTAGGAGTATCTTGAGCATGACTTTACTGGGATGACTGATGAGACTTGTAGACACCTTTAATTTTGACATTGTTGTAAATTTCCTTTTTGGGGGGATGGTGATGAGTGATTTGGTTCAAATAGATGGCCATTCACCCCCCCCCCACCTTTAAGAATCTCAGCTGGGATGTTGTCAGTTCCCCCAGCTTTTCCATTTTTGTTTTAAATTTTGTTGGCCCATTCTACTTTATCCCAGAGTATTAGGAAGTTGTCATCTTCCTGTGCCTGGTTGATGTTGCTATTTGTTTGTTTGTTATACAGACTCAAACAGTATTCAGACTATCTGTTTAGGGTGTCATTACTTTCTTTGAGTAGGTTACCTTCTGCATCTTGGATGGCTTTACTTCTTGACAGTTTTTTCGATTGATGTTTGAAATAATGCTAAAAGCTTTTTTTTTAAACTGTTGTTCAATTTGTTAAATTTTTCTGATTTCGCACATTTGCTTTCAATCCAATTATCTGTTGCCTCTCGCATGTCTTTTCTAATCTGAATATTTATCTCTTGTCTGCTAGTTGACGATTGTGCCTGTCTTTCTTGATGTGTCTTCGCTGGTCACACATGTTGAGAATTCCCTAACCCGTGGGTGCTTCAGTTTTTTTTTAAATCCAAATAATTTCTTGTGTTGTTTCATGCATTATTTTGGTGAAATCAACAGTAAACTGGTTGTCTGATCTAGCAGCTGAGTTATGGGTTGAGTGTCTGTCAGCTGAGATAATATGATACAATAGAAGAACTAGCACAGTCAGATTTGATGCACTTCTTTACAGCTGTTGATTACAACCATATTTCCTGTGGTTGACGAGCAGAAGCATTTATGAAAAGTAACAGGGGAGGAAGGGAGATATTTCCATGCACACACACACTAACTTCTTCTTCTTCTTCTTCGTTCACCGGCTGTGAATTCCGGCGAAAGGTCCCGGTTAATCGTCCGCTTGGACTTTTGGCTTTTACCTGGACCTGAGTTTTGCGTGTACAACCGTTTTACTGGCTTTTACCATTCCCTGCCTCACGGGCAGATGTACTCCGACTTCGAGGGAAGACACAATAACTGAAATGGAGTTGTTTCCACACACATATGCTTACTGGTGGTGAGATGGGTTTTTCCCCCACACCTTGACTGGGGAGGGTGGGGGATGTTTCCACACAAGCACACGCACACATACTGGAGGAGAGATGTTTCCATTGTCAGATTGAAGAGACATTTCCAGTCAGCAAGTCATCAGTTTTTCCCATGACATTTCCTGATATTCATTTAGGATGGGTTGACCTGTGCTGTCCACACACCAAAATCCCTTTTTAAAAAACTGGCTAGAGAGAGAATGTTTTCAGCAACTGGCTGGGGAGGCATTGTTTCTGCCAACTTAGAGAAAAGGAATATAGTCGAGTCTGGATAAGTAGAAGTCGCAGGGATCTAAGAAAATGCTTCCACTTTAATCAAGATTTCTACTTATCCAGACAGCACACACAATTGAGAAAATTGCCCGGACTAAGCTGGTTATGCAGACTTAACCTAAATTTGACTTATCCGAGTTCGACTTAATGTGTATTTCCACAGCCACCTCTGACTAACTGAACGTAATTTCCACTTTAACATGTTCATATTGATGTTCCCAGAGGTGCTCTGGAAGCTTATGCCAAGCTGGTTCGTCAGAGACAGGGCAAGGAGTACACGGCCGTGTACCCCGTGATGCTAGATATGTTGCAGAAAGGCTTGCAGCTGTAGTTTACCATGGGAGCTTTGTTAGTGGTTGTTTTTGTTTTGTTTTAGACATATAAGGTATCTATCACTGTCTGTATACCTCAGTTATGTTACTATCTATCTGTACAACTAGTAGAGGGGCTGACTGGTCTCAAGGCATGGTGTCTGCCTTGAATGCTGGAGGTCATGTGTTCAAGCCATGGTGAAGGCTGGATTTGTTCACCTGGACCTATAGTAAATTTCCCCTGGTCTGTGGGTAGTAAGACCATACGCCCGTGTATGTTGTTGCGCAAAGGGGGGGGGGGGGGGGGGGGAATTCCTTAGCAGATGGAAATTGAAAACAGTAGCCTAACGGTGCTGCCTGGACAAAATTGGGAGTTAAAAATCTACCCAAAGTATTTCAGGGTCCTTGCCGGTGATATGGAGTTCGTGCACTGTGCTGAGATTCTTCGTACTGAGGCTTGTGGGTTACTACCCTTGTGCCATGATGATAAACAACTGGTATGTTTTTGTCTGTCTATATAACAATCTCTGACCATCTTAATGTCTGTCTTTATATCTTAGCTCTGTTACCGTCTGTCTAAATATATCTCTCAACCCTCCTATTGTCAGTCTGTGTATCTCTAGGCCCTCTTATTGTCTGCCTATATATCTCTCAGCCCTCTTAATGTCTGTCTATATATCTCAGCTCTGTTACTGTCTGTATCTGTCTTAAACAGCTGAGCTATGTTACTGCGAAAGTGTGGCTGTGTGTGTGTGTGTGTGTGTGTGTGTGTGTGTGTGTGTGTGTGTGTGTGTGTGTATATATATATATATATATATATATATATATATATATATATATATGTGTGTGTGTGTGTGTGTGTGTGTGTATATATATATATATATATATATATATATATATATATATATATATATATATGTGTGTGTGTGTGTGTGTGTGTGTGCACGCACACACAGAGTGGAGTCTGGATAAGTATAAGTCCCAGGGACTAAAGGAAATTGTTCTACTTATACAGATAGCCCACATAGTACAGAGAAAACACTAATAACTTGGCCGGGACTAAGCTGATCATGTCGACTTAAGCTAATTTCGACTGTATATATATATATACGAATGAGAATTACCACAATTGTTTGTGGTTTATCTCAAGTGGTAAACACAGACATAGGAATATATTTTAAGATGTTTATTAGGACACTGGATGTTAAATTATTGCTGTTATTGTTTTGTTTCTCAAAACAGATCCTGGGTGTATCATTTTATATTTGGTTATTATTAAAATGTGATTATAACAGTACAGAGTTTTTTTTTTTTCCCACATGATGTGGGATGCTAAGCTTCTGTGAAATGATAAAGCCTGGTTTGGTTATTTGGAGATGCCATTCTTCTTCTTTTTTTTTTTGTTTGAGATAAATTATCTATATGTGTTCTCTATTATGAACTTTACTGTCTTTTTAAGTTCACTCAGCGACCTAAAAAGTTTTGCTTTCACCGCAATAATCTTGGTCAGAAGTTTTGCCTTCATGTGTTGGGAGTAATGTCCTGCAGTTATATCCCATGATGTATATTTACATTCTCTCATCATCATCATCATCTTAACATTCACAGCCTGTAAACTCCAGCAGAATGATCTGGGTTTTTTGTCCACTCCTTGACTTTGGTTTTGATCCAAAATGTGAGGTATTTTTGTGTGCACATCTGTTTTTACATACATAGCTAATTTGTATGCAGACTGTTGGTTTACTGTCTCTCAGGAAGATGCACTTCGACTTTCAAGGAAACACTCCTCATTATTCGCCTCCTGTGACATGTTTGTTGGGGAAGGGGGGGAGGGGCAGTAAGTCTACTATTCTTTGTCCTCCAAAACAGAACCCATACAGGAATCTCATCTTCCTGTTTTGACCTCCCTGTCTCACTTTTGTCACTCCTTCGTCACCTGCTTCTGGCACAGTAACATATCACACACACATGCTGAAAGGATAACATATATTCAGTGTATGGTTTAGCGTATCTATTTTAAATGTAACTGTCATATGTGCCTGCACACCTTTGTCACTGCTCCTCTCCCTCCTACTGAAGTTGCTCTGCTGGTGACCCATCTTGTCCTGACTGAAGCTGTACAGCTGGTGACCCATCTTGTCCTGATTCACGTTGTTCCGGTGACCGCATCAAGTTTGCCACCACAATCCCAGCAAAAACTAGGGCCCCAAGATAAAACTGTGCACGGAACGCTCCCCCACAGTCATCTGGGTTGTTAAGATCAACAGTGTACAGCTGTGTCGCAACAACAAAATATATATATATAAATAATGCAAATAAATCAGTCTCCCAAAATAATAAAAACATAAGTGATAGCTACTGAGTGAGCAAGCTAACATATTTTTCCATTATATGTTTAATTGTTTTTCAGCCTCAGCTTCTTCTTCTTCTGTGTTCCACATCAGTCATGCTAAACATTGAGTCCCGTCTGGGTCACAAATAGGATTGTGCGTTTAAGGTCGCCACCGGTCTCCCATAGCTTCTCTTGCAATGTGGCTCCCTTGGGCCACATCCACAGTCTTTGCTGGGAGAGGTTAGGGCAGAACTGCAGTATGTGTTCAGGGGTTTAACTTTATGCTCCACAATCACAGGCAGCAGATTCTTTTATGCCTATCCTGTACAAGTGTGCTCGAAGACCACAGTGTCCAGTCTGAAGTCTAAGAATTGATGTTTGTTCTTTCCTGTTGAGTTTGTTCATGCTGTCACTCTCTGGTCTGTAATCTCCATTCTGCCTTCTCCACTCCCGCTTGAAAGTCTGCTTTAGCGCTGTTTTGGTTTCCTTGTAGCTGTGTGGTGGATGAGGTTGTGGAAAGATTACTCCCAGCTTTTGCCAACTCATCTGCTCTCTCATTTCCTTGAATACCACAGTGGGCTGGTATCCACTGCAAGACCAGTTCTGCTTCCTTGGAGAGTAAGCCAATGTTGGTCCTTAAATCTGCAATTAGTTTGTCTTGTTTTTTGCTGGACAGTGCTTGGAGAACAGACAATGAGTCGCTAAGTATAACAATTTGGTGCCCTCTGTGGTCTTGAGTGTTGAGATGTTGGACTGCAGAAAGGAGGGCAGTGGCCTCAGCTCTGAAGTTAGTGCAGATGTCACCTGCTGGTAGAGAGAGAGTTTCTGCTCTACTGCTAGGGGGTTTAATGTAAATTCCACAACCCCCCTTTCTGACTGCATCTGTAGCAGAGCCGTCTGTGAAAACCTGAGTCCAAGTGGTGTTTGGATACTTCTCATCAAGCATAGCAAGAGACAAGGTTCTTTGTTGTGTCTCCGTCTGGGCATCTTTAGGACTACATTTGCTTTCTCTGGCTTGCTTGTCCATGGTTCTGGCCTAAGTTTTTCGCTTAGCCTCAGCAAATGGACTTCGATTCGGCTAATAATAATAATGAATGTTTTAACTGATGTGCACCCTAATTGAAACGCTTGCTTTATGAGCTGAATTTTTGCGCCATCTGTGGTTGATCATTTTCCCGTGTGGGTTTTCGGGCCCCATTGTGAGGGGAAAACAAGAACAGACTCACTTCCTTCCCCTACAATAAGAGTCGACAAACTGGGTGCATCTGCCTGAGAGACAAGGAACCAACAGTCTGTATACAGATAAGTCAGATCTGTGAAACGCATGTGCATGCGACTCAGGTTCTAGAAAAAGTCTAAAGTTGAGAGGTAAATGAACAACCTGAGCTTTCTGCTAGAGTTTACAGCCAGTAAACATGAAGAAGAAGTTAATCACATTTATGTTAATGAGGATTTTGGCTAACAAACGTGATTCTGGAACAAACTATTTTTGTTAGCTGAAGTATCGCTGTAGTAATAATTCTTGTAATGTTATAATAAACGTCCCATTTTAGTGGGTCCTGTATTGGGTACTTTGAGCTAGTTCCCATGTATTTCTAAACCAAACAGCACCCAGTGATGATGTGGTCAATAACATGCTGGCACCTTTACCTTCCAGGAAACTTCCTGGTATCCATTTTTAAGCTGGGTCAATTCTAAAATCTGCTATGATGGAGACTCAATCCTGCAACCATCTTGCCAGCAAGCTTTGACAATGGCTGCGTTTTTTTTTAACTTTTTGAGTCCCATGGGGTTTAGCACCAGAGGCCCAAGGGGTAGTCAAGAGAGGCGTAAAATCGGCCCATATTGTGTTCATTGGGCTTCCAGGTGAGAACCTATGAATGTATGATGTGTCCTTAAGAAACTATCTTGGCTGTACACACACGGATAAGGACAAAACTGGAGACAGAGAAGATGGCTCAGGATCGAACTGATTGGCAACAGTTTGTCTCTGGGCACGATGAGGACTGATTCTGACACACTAGGCTAGGCAGGAGTGAAAGGAAATGAAAGTGCCGACCAACTGGTTATGATTGGAGTAGGTAATGAAAGACAGGGCAAACACATTGAATGTGCTGCATTCTAGAGACAAAGCAGTGAGAGACAATAACCTGCTTGTTGGAAATAGGTATTAAATGAGGACAAGTATGCAGAAACCAGTTGTAGGTCAAAGAAAGAAGATGCACCAATCAGCTGCTTCTACTGGGTACAGTGAGCATGGAGATACTGTTATGGCTGCTGTATCAGGGGACAAAGCGCAAATGGGTCACGCCAATTTGCTAGGACAGTGATTTCCAAACTGCGCTCCGGGAAGCAGCGGCCTCTTCACAGGGGGGTGCCGCAAAATATACATAGGAACAGTCATATTTTTACTTAGATCATCGTGGAAAAATTGTTTTTGTAAAAAGACTAAGAGAAGTTTGGGAAACATTGTACTTGGAAGTCAATACAGATAACAAGCAACTTGTCAACTTTCTATTTCTGTGAGAAATAACACCAGTCGTAGAGATAACAAGAGACAGTGAGACAGAAAATGCGACCATGTGAATACTTGTATTACCACTGCCTGCAATTTATGTGCTTGTAAATAAGTGACTGAACAAAAATGACTGTGAACAGAAATGACTGTGTACAGCTAGTAATCTGTTACTGTCCAGGTCTGGCACTGGTAGCACAAGTTTGGCAAAAAAGAAGGTCACAGAGTGCTCTGTTGGTGTCTACTGACACATGTTTGTTTCTTAGTACTGGTTCTATTTACCCAATGTTTTGCCAGCTGGCAATATTGTGCTTCCCAAGTATTTGAAGTTCTTGGTTTGTTTCAGAGGGTTTTCTGTAAGCTGGATATTTATTGTTCTGTTTACTTAGGCTATGGTCATGATCTCTGTTCTGTTGGTGTTAATGTTCATGTTATGCTCTTTGGAAATTTGGTTTAAATCATTTAAACGATCTTGCAGTTCAGTTTCTAAAGAAACAGTTATAGCTCGATGGTCCACATATAGTTCTTTGATGGAACTTTTTGACTTTTGATCTTCTCCTTGGTGTATTATAGTCCTTGTTTAGTTGCTTTCTTTACAGATGCTGACTGTGTGTATAACTTGTAGATCAGTGAATGTCTACAGCTTGTAAATCAGTGACTGTGTGTACAGCTTGTTAATCATTGACTGTGTGTGCTGCGTGTAAATCAAGACTTGTACAGCTTGTAAGTCAGTGACTGTGAACAGATTGTAGATCAGCAAAAGTGTACAGCTTGTAAAATCAGTGACTGTGTGTACAGCTTGTAAATCAGTGACTAGGTACACCTTCTAAATCAGTAATTTCAGTTTGTAAATCTGGAACCTGGGTCTTAACCTAGCCTGTCTATTACATATACTTGGTAGCTTACTTGTTATAATTATAAATCAGACTATGCATATAGAAACAATTCTGACTGATTGAGGTACAATTAAATAAACTATACATTAGCTACAGTTTGTTTATAAATCATACACTATATGCTCTTGTGAGTTATGGCGGCCCTCTTTGTGGGAGGGGGGGGGGAGGAGGGGGGGGGGGTAGACCCACTGAAGACCTGAAAACCAAAGTCGGCTAATTAGGGGTTTCCTTTGAAGTCGGAGTGCATCTACCTGAGAGGTAAGGAATCAACAGTCTGCATATAAATAAACCAGATCTATAAAACAGATGTGCATGCAAAACTCAAGTTACAGAACAAGACCAAAGTCCAAAAGTTGACAAACAACCAGAACTTTCTGCAGGAGTTTACAGCCGGTGAAAGCTAAGAAGAAGAAGGAAGATATGTCATACCTGATAGGCAATCCTGGCTGCTGCACCACCAACAACCAAATAGTATGGCCAGGGCATGTGGCACAGATAGCCTGTCAATGCTAGGCCTCCGGTCATGCCAGCAGCAAACACAGACAAACATGGCTTGGTGCGATCACCCAGGAAGATGGCTGCAGACTTGACTCCGACGATCATGTCATCAGTCTTGTCCTGCCAACATCAACAATCTTCATCAACCAGGTATTTCTATCAAACAAATAAGGTGTTCATTTGAAAGGGAAGGGTAGAAAATACAAAGTCAAAGAAAGAAAGACAGGCAGATAGAAAGAAAGAAAGAGTTGAAGGCCAAACTAGAAGAGGTACCAGTAATCTGGCTAAATAAATACTGTAACAACGAAATAGTCTTTCCTCTTGTGTCGAGTGCGGCATATAGGGCAGAGGTCATGACTCTCCATGCATGGCGGTCCGTTGCAATCCGTTGTAGGTCTTGGATGTTTGAGTGGCCCATGAGCGAGCCTTCCCTGATGATAGTTCTACGTAGGGTTTCCCTTGGTCTTCCACGAGATCTTTTCCCCTGTGGTGTCCAAATGAGGGCTTGGTAAGGAAGTCTTGATTTATCCATTCTAAGGGCGTGGCCGACATAGTTTCAGCGGCGTTTTCGTATAAAATTAGACACATACTCTTGCCTGGATTCTTGCCTTATTTGTGTATTTGTTCGGAAATCTGACCTTTTGAAATTTAGTATTCTTCTAAGGCATTTATTTTCAAAACTGTCTAATTTTGTGTCTAGAGTTTTTGTTGATTTCCAGCTCTCGCATCCATAGGTTAGTACTGGAATCACACAAGAATTAACAACGGAAACTAAAGAAAATTTAAATATTAAGTATTCAATGAATACTGAGAGCAGAAATATAAATGATGCAAACACACAAGTTAATTTTCAAACATAATGAAATGACAGACCTTCTGAACTGCTAATACCAATCAATACACCGGAACACACATTGAGAAAAACAAATCTGGAGAAATATAAATAATGCAAACACACAATTTAATTTTGAAACATAATGAAATGACAGACCAAGTGAACTACTAATACCAATCAATATACCGGAAGACGAAAAAAATCTGGAGAAATATAAATGATGCAAACACAATTTTGAAACAGAATGAAATGACAGACCTAGTGAACTACTAACACCAATCAATATACCGGAACACACATTGAGAAAAACAAATCTGGAGAAATATAAATGATGCAAACACACAATTTAATTTTGAAACATAATGAAATGACAGACCTAGTGAACTACTAATACCAATCAATATACCGGAAGACGAAAAAAAATCTGGAGAAATATAAATGATGCAAACACACAATTTTGAAACAGAATGAAATGACAGACCTAGTGAACTACTAACACCAATCAATATACCGGAACACACATTGAGAAAAACAAATCTGGAGAAATATAAATGATGCAAACACACAATTTAATTTTGAAACATAATGAAATGACAGACCTAGTGAACTACTAATACCAATCAATATACCGGAAGACGAAAAAAAATCTGGAGAAATATAAATGATGCAAACACACAATTTTGAAACAGAATGAAATGACAGACCTAGTTAACTACTAATACCAATCAATATACCGGAAGACGAAAAAAAATCTGGAGAAATATAAATGATGCAAACACACAATTTTGAAACAGAATGAAATGACAGACCTAGTGAACTACTAATACCAATCAATATACCAGAACACAGTTAGGAAAAAATCCTTGATATATTTACCAGAACCCATGCCAGGACTGAAGGACTAAACTAAGGGAGGGAGGCAGGTTGGGAAATGAATTTCTTGCATTGCTAAAACAAAAGTGGACTTAGTCACAGAATTAAGGTTTTATCAGCCTAGCGCCTTCAAATATCCTGTTTAAAATATACTACGGCTACAGTGTCCTGGCTAAACCAAATATCTTGGTTTCACTGCTCTGATTAAAACAGACATACCTACAATGTGCTGGTTAAAACAAATACCATAGTTACAATTCTACAACACCAAGTGAAGGGGCTGGGAAGATGCACATCTTATTCCATAGAAGCAGTACTAGTTCTACCTGAATGTGACTGCAATAATGTGAATGTGATACTGCAATGGCCTGAATATGACTGCAATAATTTAAACGTGATACTGTAGCTATGTGAATGTGACACTGAATTGGCCTGAATGTGTCTTCAATAATGTGAATGTGATACTGTGGCTATGTGAATGTGACGCTGCAATGGCCTAAATATGACTGCAATAATGTGAATATAATATTATGGATATGTGAACGTGACACTGCAATGTCCTATATGATACTGTTGCTATGTGAATGTTACACTGCAATGGGGTGAATGTGACTGCAATAATGTGAATATGATACTATGGCTATGTGCGTGTAACTATGAATATGACACTGCAATGCCATGAAAGTGTCAACAATAATGTGAATGACATTTACAAGCAAGCAGTCCCCCATATTTATAAGCCAATAGTGCCTACCTATGAACCAACAGTTCCTATATTTACCAGTTTTCTTCTCTTTTTTTTTTTTTTTTTTTTTGCTTTCGCCAGCTGTAAACTCTGATGGAAAGTTGTGGTTTGTTTGCCTACTTCTGTTTTCAGAATTTGAGTTCTGTGTGTATATCTGGCGTATTGTGATGCAGACTGTTGGTTCTTCACCTCTCGGGCAGAAGCACTCTGACTTTGAAGAAAATACCCGTATTTAGTTGACTTTCACGACATGCTTGTTAAGACAGCAGCGGGTCTTTTCCCACCCACCCACCCCACCCACAATGGGGCCCTGGAACCCATATGGGGATTTTATCAACCAACAATCACCATATTTACCAGTCTCCCATATTTACCAGTCTCCCATATTTACCAGTCTCCCATATTTACCAGTCTCCCATATTTACCAGTCTCCCATATTTACATCAAATTCCATCTCTCCACAGTTATAAATTGGGTTAATTGTATAAATTCAAAATAATCTTTCACAAATCTACTGTATGTACATTTATATGTGTATATAATCCATACACTGTACATTTATCTATCAAATCACATACTACTTTTGCAGAGCCTATGTCCCCCACATTCACAGATCCCACAGCCTCTTATTTACAAATCCCATGTCCCACATTCACAGATCCTGCATGTTTGCCATCAGTTACCATGCACCCACACAAAAAGCAGGCTATATACTGGAAATGAGCAATAGTATGCAACATAAGTGAAGCTGAAGCTAAGCTGTGAGCAACAAACATCAAGACACAGCATACAAAATGCTGCCTAGATAACAGCTGTTTGCTGTCCAGTACAGTGTTCTTCAACCAGTGGGCTGCAGAACAATTTCTAATGTTCTAGTGGGCTGCTGGTATAAAAAGGTTGAAGCAAATGATCATGCGCATGCACACACACACACAAACACAGAAGATCGCAGATCACAAGCATGCTATCTTCTTATTCTGCCCTTACAAGGGTGTTTGGCAGTTTAGAGTTATGGTTAGACTGCGATATCTGGGCTTTTTGGCCCGACGCATCCGATTTTAGCCAAATCCTAGACACCTTTTTGCCACACTCCCCCCCCCCCCCCCCCCTTTAAAACTATTCATACTAATGGTTGCCCAGACATTTCTCTTATTTCTTCACTCCTTTTGAATTGATCCTATTTTATTTTTAATATTTTCCCTCAGATAATTAATAAGACGGATGAATCAGCTTGGATCTGGATTGCCAAATATGTCTTCTTCTTTTGTTGTCACACTGTTCTGCATTTATCTTAAACTTGAGTGGCTTGAATGATCCATGCATTTTTTTTTGTTTTTTTTAAGCAGCATTCAGCTACCTATCCTTTTCTTCCTTGGTCTTTTTCTCACCTTCCACCAGGACGTTCTTTTTTAAGAAGGTTTCGTATACAGTTTGGTCTGGCTGCATTCTTACTGGATGGCCAATCCATTTTACTGTCTCCAGATGCGGTTTTGTTCCAACCTTCTCTCTCATGCTAGTATTACTGACTCTGTCCCTCATTGTGTTTAGGTTTGTCAAAATACATTTTTAAGACCCCAAAAAACTCAACTTAACTGAAGATGATATTCCTTCCCATATTGAAGCCCTACCACACACATCTCCCCTGTACATTTTAAATCACTCCTCTGACATGCTCTGCTTACTACTTCTAGGACAGAAGCAAAGAAAGCCAAAAAACAAAGAGGTGCATCCTTCTAGGAGAGAACATGTCACAGCCCAAGTACAGGCTTACCTGATGTGCATATATTGTGTCATAAACTAAGGTCCACATGATAGACGAACAATACAAAGGCAGGCACACCAGCCAATCAACGGAACCAGTCACTGCCGACCACCCTAACAGAGCACCATAGTTGAAAGCAAAGCCTGGTAGAAGGGAAAAGGAGGCCAATCATGAATTTATGCTGTCATATCTTCATTTTTCTTTCACAAACATGAAACGAGGGTGTTGTGTCTCTGGTGCATGGCTATATCGGCTGTGTTGAGTTGAGTTGAGCTGATTCAAGAACCGACATCACGGCACTCGGGGCATTCCCTTAAGCGCTTCATCCCCATTTTCACCAGGCAGCGCAGAGTTCCAATACCAGTGGTGCTAGTAGCATTCTGATTATATGTCCATCTTGCCTTTCCATTGAGCGATGAGTATCGGCCAGATCCCCTCGTCACTCCCCGCTGCATCACTCTCACCAGACTATGTTGTTGTGCACAATCTCCCACAAGGCCCTAACCACGTCTGCCTTATCATGTATCAATATTCCACTAAGGTGTGCACAGCCAGCCAGTCTGTCCACCCGTTCATTTCCCAAAACATAAGAGAAAAGATCCAGACAATGCTCCTCACCCGTGACTTCCAAAGCGAAGCATGCCATTCTGCATAAAGCATGCCTGCCCTCACCTTCCTGGGGATGCTTTTTTAAGTCAGTTACAGTCACAATGTGTGTGTGTCGGGTTCTCTAACCAGTGGAAAGCTGCAGTGACCACCTCCACCTCCATTCTTAAGCTGGATGTTGTGGTACCAATGTTAGACTCTCCTGTACAAAACGCCAACCAGGTGACATCTTGTTGTCAGTAATGTTTGCTGGAGTTTACAGGAAGAGCTCCTGCAATAACGGCTGCAACAATTTAACACTTAAACATTGCAGTCAGGTGGCATGTGCAACTGTAGATGCAAATAAGGACAGCTGCAACAATTGAACTCCAACTGTAGATGCACATGGCTGCAATAATTTGACACTCAAAATTGCAATCAAGCGACATGTGCAACTGCAGATGCAAACAGCTGAAACAATTTAAAATTCAAACATTGCAGTCAGGTGACATGTCCAACTGTAGATGTATACAAATTTAACACTCAAGCATTGCAGTCAAATGACGTATGCAACTGTAGTTGCACATAAAAACATTTCACACATTTATAGAAAATTGTACTTAATCTTTCTCACCTGGATCTACACACCTGGTCATGCGGGCGTAAAGTGTAACGAGAGAGCGGACCAACTGGCAAGCAATGCACCAAGGCATATGGGAAGAAGCATGGACAGAGCAGATATCGTTTACGCTGCACGGACTGGGCTGTTGGAAAATGACGAATCTCTGACGCTAACACAATTGTGTGGCATGGCAGTAAAACATGGTGAAGCAAGTTTACGCCACCTCAGAAGCCGAGATAGGAGTCAATATAACCGATTTCTCATGGGAACAATTAGTAGAAGCACCTTGGAGTGGTTGCTGCATCGGAGGACTGAACACACCTCGGAGAATGCCCAATGTGCCATGATGTCGATTGTGACAACATAACAGTTCAACACTGCCAGATTAAACCTTGTCTGACCCAGCCAAAGTACCATTTGTTGAATAATTCTCGCTGCTATCTACTTTACTAATCTACATTGTCCTAGTTATTTAACTCTTTGTGTCCCATCTCATTCTTTTTTTTTAAATATTTCATCACATTCTTGCTAAGATACTTTTGTAATTGTCGCAAATTTCAAAACATGATTTTTTTTTGAACAATTTCATTGAAAAGAAATGGAACGTTAGAATTTTCTTGAACCCTACCTAATCTCAGAAAATAGAGGATGAGAAAAGGAAGCAGAACAAATTTAGTGTCTCCGACAGTTTTTATAAAAGTCAAGAAGGTTGAAACCTGTGACCAACAAGCAGATTAGCAAGTTTGCCCCTAAGTCACCACAAAGATAGATTTTTTATATTTAGAGCATTATTTTGCACAAAGGTGAGTTTTTAAAATATATATATATATATATATATGAGAGAGAGTGAGTGAGAGAGAGAGAGAGTAAGAGTGAGAGAGTGAGTGAGAGAGTGAGTGAGAGACTGAGTGAGTGAGAGTGAGAGAGCGAGCGAGCGTGCGTGGTGTGTTATATACGAAGGGAAAGTAAGCAATCAAAACAAATAGAGCACAGAAATAACTGCTTTTTCTCCCTTTGATCAAGAAAAGTTTTTTTTTTTTAATACAGCCAGAGAGAGCAAAGTGATGTCCTCATAAGTTTATTACGACATCACAATGGCAGAAAATAAACACTATTTTGCCAATTCAAATATATCTGGTGAAGCAAACAGTTTTTAATGTAGTCGATTTTGTATTTCAATTCCAAGGATTCATTTATTTGCTTCATTTTAATCAACTGTTTCTGTGGTATGCTTTTGACGAGATACAGCGAAATTGGCCAGGAAAGAATTTCGGCAATCAATTGTTTGTGTCTTCTTTGTTCAGATTCACAATGGCGAAATATTGTTTTGATTTTCTGGAAGTGTTATTATTGTAATTCCTACAGACCCAATATTTAATAGCTGGTTTTAAAAACAAAAAGTCAGATTAGCTGTCTGTCATGGAAAGAGTTAACAGCGAAAAAATGCAGGCCAAAATACAAAACAAGAAAAGGAAAAGTGACTATATACACTCTTTCTCTCTCTCTCCCTGTGTGTGTGTGTGTGTGTGCGTGCGTGTGTGTGCTCTGATGTTGAAAGTGTCGTATTTTTGCTGTACATCAATTACATTTATATGCAGCATAATTGCAACAACTAGCAATAAAACAAGCAGCAAGCACTAGCAGGAAGAAGCCACTTCATGTACTGTGTAACTCAAAAACAGCCATATCAGAGCTATCTAGAACAGCGGTTCTCAACCATTTTTTTCGGGTCAAACGACCCTTTCACAAGGGTCGCCAAAGACCATTGCAAAACACATATTCATTGAAGTTATGAACCTGGGGGTCACCACAATATTAGGAAGTGTATTAAAGGGTCGCGGCATTAGAAAGTTTCAGAACCACAGATCTAGATCATCATAGAAACAATCAGCCATAAACCTGTCTATATGGGATGCAAAATGCTGAAGCACACACGGTGGAGCAGGGATCATGCCAGTCAAGACCTATCTACACCTCTCTGTGGTCATCCTAGGGACCGGTTTCCAACAGGGGGCATAGTCATTGTAGATCAGGATTGACATTTCCTTTGAAGTTGGACTGCATATACAGGCTAGGAACCAACAGTCTGCACACAAATACATCAGATCTGTAAAAAGGATGTGCAAAATTCAAGCCTTGAAGCAAGACCAAAGTTCATAAGTAGACAGAAAACCCGGGTTTTCTGCCGAGTTTACAACCAAGTCATCTTCTTCTTCTTCTTCGCGTTCACCAGCTGTAAACTCCGGCAGAAAGTTCTGGTTGCTCGTCCACTTCTGGACTGCAGTCCTGTTCCAGAACCTGAGAATTGCATGTGCATCTTTTACAAACCTGACTTATTTGTATGCAGACTACTGGTTCCTTGCCTCTCAGGCAGATGCACTCTGACTTCCAAGGAAGCTTTCAATTAGTCGACTCTTACATCATATTTTTGGGGAGTCAGTGGGTCTATTCTTGTTTTCTATAACAGGGCTCCGGAACCCACACAGAGAAGCCAAGCAATAAATGGTACTATATACTGTTTGTGTCTTCTTTAACAAGCTGAAATATACCCAGACTCTAAATCTGCACGTTATAATGGCACCTTAGCTCTTACAAGTCAGTTTGTGAAATTATACAATCTCTATGAACACACATTTCTGTTTCATATTATGAGAGTGTCAGTTATTTAGGATTAATTACAGCGCAGAGACCAATCATATCACAAATCTATCCTCATGTGAAAATAAAACAGACCAATCCCAGTACAAGCTTACCATCATGTTAATAGAACAGACCAGTCAAACCACAAGCCTACCATCATGTCAAAATAGAGCGGACCAATCAAATCACAAGCCTACCATGATGTTAAAATAGAACAGACCAATCAAACCACAGGCCTACCATGATGTTAAAATAAAACAGAACAATCACAATACCACCATGTTAAAATAAAACAGACCAATCAAACCACAACCTTACCACCATGTTTAAATAAAACTGACCAGTCACAACACAACCTTATCAATATGTTAAGAGGTTACATACCAATAACAGTTGTCTACATTCAGCCCAAAATACTGCAGCCCTAAACCACCATACAGTTCTAAACACTAATACTTCTATTACAAGGTTAAAATATGAACCAGTGAAGTCCAACAGAGCCGCACAAACTATGTGCAAATGGAACTAATGTATATGTAAAAACAATTATTTTTACTTGAGGCATATCATAAGAAAATCACACAACAAGAACTAGAGGGTAAATAGCACTGTAAACAGCTTTATATTCCCAGGCAAGAAAAGAAATGGCCACACAACTTAATACTGAAACAATAATACTATCAATGATAACTTACCAATGACTGACAATGTCATGCCATGGACTGATAGTACCACACCCATGACTGACAATGTCACTCCATGGACTGACTGTGCCACACATGACTGACAATGTTACTCCATGGATTAACAGTGTCACAATTGTGACTGGCAACATCACACAATGGACTGGGAGTGCCACATCAATGACACACCATGAGCTGACAGTGCCACATCCAGGACTGACAATGCCACATCCAGGACTGACAATGCCCCACAATGAAATGACAGTGTCACACCCAGGACTGACAATACCACATCCAGGACTGACAATGCCCCACCATGGAATGACAATGGCCCACCATGGAGACAGTGCCCCACCAATCAGTGTCACATCTAGGACTGACAGTGCCACATCTAGGACTGACAGTGCCACATCCAGGACTGACAGTGCCAAATCCAGGACTGACAGTGCCCCACCATGGAATGACAGTGCCACATCTAGGACTGACAGTACCACATCCAGGACTGACAGTGCCATATCCAGGACTGACAGTTCCACATCCAGGACTGACAAAGACACATCCAGGACTGACAATGCCCCACCATGGAATGACAGTGCCACAGCAATGAATGATAAGGTCACATCATGGTCTAAAATGCCCTTATCAATGAGTGACAATGTCACAACCATGGACTGACAGTGTCAAATCAATGACTGACAATGTCACAATAAGGCCTAAAAATATTAGCCCGTAAAATAAGAGTACTAAAATGCACAGGGTTCAATTATGAAATGACAATGGTTTGTATGGAATGAGAGTATTAAATTATGAGCTAACAGTGTCACACTGTGAACTGACAGTGCCATCTAGTGAGTTGGCAGTGTCACACCATGGACTGAAAGCATCTCGCTGTGGACTGACATCACTGACATAATGGAAGTGCCAGTGGCACATCATGAATTGACACTGTCACTACATGAAGTGACAGCACTAAGAAAACTGGTATGACTGCTATCACAGACCGACAGTGTTATATCAAAACAATGTGTCACCATGGACTTACAAAGCTGAACTGTCAAATGACGTTCATACTTATCACTTCAATTGTCATCAAGTAAACTGACTGTGTCACCTATAATGGTCTGAAAATGCCAAATTGTGGACTGATAGTAACACATGAACCGACAGTGGCATGCCCAGTTCTGGCATTGTCACACCCTGCACTGGGAGAGCCACATCAAAGACCAACAATTTCATATAAACCGAGCGTCCCCACCATGGACTGACAGTGCTCAACTGCCAACTGGCTGTCACACAGATGACTGGCAGTGTCACAATGTGGACTGTCAGATGTTCTTTCACCTGAGTGCATGTACCTGGTGTGCGTAAACGGTGTCATATATGACTGTGTGCAAGGAACAGGCCAGGTACAAGACCAGGCCTGAAAGCTCCAGTGAACCTTTTAGTGCTGACCAGGCCAAGAGAACACCCCAGTTTAGTGTCAGGCCTGAAACAGAAGTAGGTTTCCTACACATCATTCAATAATCAGTAGATGATATGATTGGTCCCTCACTATTACACCCAAATAAATTACATGAGGGACACTAGGGAAGACTGTGACTCTTACAATGACATAAATCATTCAAGTGGTGTGAGGCAGCCATAACTCACACTCTGACATTCAAGCATTCAAGTGGTGTGAGGGAGCCTTAACTCACACTTAACATCAAGCATTCAAGTGGTGTGAGGGAGCCATAACTCACACACTGACATTCAAGTGGTGTGAGGCAGCCATAACTCACACACTGGCATTCAAGCATTCAAGTGGTGTCAGGCAGCCATAACTCACACACTGACATCAAGCATTCAACTGGTGTGAGGTAGTCATAACACACACACTAACTTGAAGCATTCAAGTGGTGTGAGGCAGCCATAACTCACACACTGGCATTCAAGCATTCAAGTGGTGTGAGGCAGCTATAACTCACACACTGACATCATGCATTCAAGTGGTGTGAGGCAGCCATAACTCACACACTGACATCAAGCATTCAACTGGTGTGAGGTAGTCATAACACACACACTAACTTGAAGCATTCAAGTGGTGTGAGGTAGCCATAACTCACATACTGACATCAAGCATTCAAGTGGTGTGGGACAGCCGTAACTCACACACTGACATTCAAGCATTCAAGTGGTGTCGGACAGCCGTAACTCACACACTGACATTCAAGCATTCAACTGGTGTGAGGTAGTCATAACACACACACTAACTTGAAGCATTCAAGTGGTGTGAGGTAGCCATAACTCACATACTGACATCAAGCATTCAAGTGGTGTGGGACAGCCGTAACTCACACACTGACATTCAAGCATTCAAGTGGTGTCGGACAGCCGTAACTCACACACTGACATTCAAGCATTCAAGTGGTGTGAGGCACCGATAACTCACACACTGACATTCAAGCATTCAAGTGGTGTGAGGTAGCCATAACTCACACACTGACATTCAAGCATTCAAGTGGTGTGAGGTAGCCATAACTCACACACTGACATTCAAGCATTTAAGTGGTGGGGGCAGCCATAACTCACACACTGACACCACGCATTCAAGTGGTGTGAGGAAGCAAAACACACACACTGTTAGCAATCACTCAAGTGAGGGAACAATAACTCACATACTGACAGCAATCACTTAATCATTGTGAGGGAACCATAACTTAAATACTGTTAGCAATCACTCAAGTGGTGTGAGGGAACAATAACTCACATACTGACAGCAATCACTTAATCATTGTGAGGGAACCACAACTCATATACTGACAACAATCTTCAAGCAGTGTGATAGAGCTATAACTCATATACTGACATCAAGCATTCAAATGGTGATAGGGAAAATAACTCACATATTGATAGCAATAACTTGGTGTGAGGTGTCTGTAACTCATATACTGACAGCAATCACTCAAGTGGTGTGAGAGGACCATAACTCATATACTGACAGTAATAACTCAAGTGGTGTGAGGCAACCATAACACAATTACTGACAACAATCCCTCAAACAGTGTGAAGAAAAAATAACATATGTAAACTTGGGAGGAAAATTCTGGTTGTTCATTTATTTCTGGACTTTGGTCTTGTTCCAGAACTTGAATGTTGTGTTCCCTTCCGTTTTACAGATCTGACTTATTTATATGCAGACTGCTGGGTCCTCACCTTTCAATCAGATCCACTCAGACTATGTCTTCTCATTCTTCGTTGCGTTTACCATCTGTAAACGCTGGTGGAAAGTTCTGGTTGTTCGACATCTCTGGACTTCAGTCTTGTTCCAGAATATGAGTGCAGCGTACATATCCGTTTTACAGATCTGAAATATTTGTGTGCAGACTGCTGGTTCCTTGCCTCTTGGGCAGAAGTACTCGCAGTCTGAAGGAAGCCCCCAACTTTAGTTGACTCTTACGACAAGCTTATTAGGGAGGCAGTGGGTCTATTCTTTTTATATGAGAATACTGGGCAGCTGCAATGTTCAGCAACTGTGGGGTTAGGTATATTAATTCGAAGAATGGGTTCCAAGCAACTACATGGTTACAGATATATATGTGCAGGGGCACAGGCACCTGAAGGCTTCGGCATCATGAAGGCCCCCCAACCATGTACTGAACATCTTTTTTTGTTTGTTTGCTTTTTGTTTTGTTTTGGGTATCTTTTGAAGTTTTTGTTTATGCATATTATACTGTTTTAGACGTTATATTTTGTTTGCCATTCAGCAGAATGTTATTATTATAAAACACTTAAAGCAGTCTACCCCCACCAAATCTGTAAAGGGGTTGAGGCTCCACCCCTCTATGTTTTCTTTGTGTCGGTGCCCCTGGATATATGACTGGGTTGGCAGGGTTAGGTGAGTGAATCTGAATAATGGGTTGGCTGAAGTTTGAAGCAACTGTAGGATTTGCAAGTAGACAGATACGATCATGAAATCGAGATGTTAGAACAGTGACAGGTGGGACAAACACTCTTCTATAAGGTGCATTCTTCTCCTATCTGCCTAACATATACGATTTCAGCTAATCTCCAAAGGACTGGATTTATTCCCCCCCCCCCCCCCCCCCCCAATAGGCTCCTTAGAACCCACACATGTAGGATTCCACAAATATATGAAGTTTGAATTAAATGTGTACAATGGGCAGTTACGTGACTTTGGACAGTAGAAACTTCCTATCACGACAAATAACCCACCCTATTTTTTACATTTAATTCATATTTTCTCTCAACATTGTTCCTTGCAATTTCAGGGTCATCGACAATTTCTTCTTTTTCTTCTTTGCATTCATCTACTGTAAACTCAGCTGGAAAGCTGTGGTTGTTTACAGAAGCCTTGTTCCAGAATTTGAGTTTTGTGTGCACATTCATTTGACAGATCTGGCTTATTTGTATGCAGACTGTTGGTTCCTTGCCTCTCAGGCAGATGCACTCAAACTTTGAAGGAAACACCCCTAAATAGTACATTGAGGACATAATTGATGGGGGGGGGGGGGGGGGCAGTGGGTCTATTCTTTTTCTTCACATTGGAGCCCCAGAACCCACACCAGGAGATCCACGTTTGAAAGAACATATTTATGTGCATGGATAAGTCAGAGACATATAATAAACACCACGTATAGACATAAGATATACATCAGTAGTGTACATGGTTCTTTTATGTTTTTTCACCACATCATGTCAGCTTCGAGATTTGGTAGACAAATCCCCAGACCGTCCAACAGTATGGAAGGGGGGTGGAAGGGGGGGTGTTAGAGTTAGACTGAGTAGTAGTCGCTATTCTTTTAACACTAGCCCTAACCCTAATCCCTCTATATGAGACGGTCTGAGGATTTCCTTACCAAATCTCGAAACCCATGCATGATGTGGTGAAATAACAGAGAAGAACCATGTACATATTAAAGTATATAAACAAAACAGTGACAACGTTATGCACAGACTAACGTACAGACATAATCATGGTAAGAAATGCACACATTAATGTGTAAAGACAACACATAACTGTGCCACAACATACAACAATTAACCAATGAAACAATTAATGTGCACTAACAACACATACTGTGTGCATACCGTACAAATGTAATACACACAAATTTAATATGGGCAGTGCTTTCCGTTAGCCTCTGCACAACTCTAGCTCATCTTTTTAACATATCTTACAGATAACTGAGACAGCACAAACTTACCCAGAATGATTTGTGGCCAATAGGTGATACGTTTAAACAAAGGATATACAATGACAATGCCCAGCGATGCAGCACCGAGAATTATGCTGTAAGACAAACAAGTAAAAGTTCAAGGGCTATTCCAAAATCAACCTCTGATTGGCTGGTAAAAATAAATACTGTTTCACAATTTCATAATTTTTCTATCAGATCTATCAGCTAGGGCTAGAAATTTGAAATTCTGAAGAAAGATCTGAAATTGTGAAACATGGATTTTCCACTATGACTTAGTCGACGTTTTTAATGAACTAATCTGTCATACATGAATGCCGCCCTTGTCCACCCTAAACATAAACATTTTTACACCCATTTCTGAAATTTCTGCACCAATCCCTCACAAAACTCTCATAACATTATCCCTGTATACATGACACAGTCGACAATGAAACTCTGTGGCATTTTGAACTTCTGAAAATGACTCGCACCACGAATTTCACAACAGGTGGGAAAGCAGTAACAGTGTCCATGTTTATCTGTTCGTGACTGTTGAACAACTAAACAAATGTGACTAGGTTGGTGTGTAGACAAAAAAAAAACTACTGAATGATGCAAGCAAACAACAATATCCCTAGTTCTATTGTCTATTTGCGAGTCGCCGTGGCCAAGCGGCTAGACGCTCGCAGCAGTTCGGAAGGTTGTAGGTTCGCTCCCTGGCGGAGCCGGACTATTTAAAAAAATGACCTTGGCTCCCAGGTCGACCCAGCCTTGAGTGGGTACCCTGTGCAGTCTCGGGAAAGTAAAGGCGGCTGGTGTGATGCTGACCACATCACCCTACTGTGCCGATTAGTCTATAAAAATATAGGTCTAGCCCTATATGCCCTTTACGCCTAAAGGCGTGGAAAAGGGTCCATTACTCACTTACTTACATAGTCTATTTGCAAACAGGTTTTTTTTCCCGCCCATTGGAGGTTTATTTTGGAATAGCCTTCATAGATTAACATAAGCTGGTGTCAGCTTACATCAGGGATGGGCAAACTGCGGCTTGCTAGCCACAACTAGCCTGCCAAGTCATTTTTACAAGGCCCGTGAGGCTGGTGTATACAATAAAGTACATAATGCTCAAACTAACGTACAAACTCATGGTAAGCATTCCACATATAGTGTACATATTTTACTGAACTGTCATGAAGCAGCTTTTTACTGGCCTGCGAGGCTGTTGTAAAATTACTATATAATCTGTAGGGAGAACTATACATTAAATATTATTTCAATGTCCATGTGAGAACTATGCATTAAGTCAGCCTGTGCGAGTATCCATTTATATGCTTTTTTGAGAACTATATATTACTTCATTGTCTCTGCATATATTAAATTCACGTCAATGCCTTTAACAGTGAAGGTGGTACTGATGAAGACATCATATGGTGACTATAAAATCTTGAGCTGAAAATGTAATTTCCCAGTAATATTTTGAGCTGTACACATGGCATCCCAGGTCAGTCAGTTAAACCCCACTCCCTTTTCCTAGGTCACCAGGGTGAATGGGTTAATTAATCACTTAACAAAGGTAATAAAACCTGATCCATTATCATTTAGAAATAACAGAAACAATATGCTCTTTAATTGCATCAACACATTTCAGGCATTATAAGTATCTAAAACTAATTAAATCTAACAAGGTTCCTTATCTTCTATTCTTAACTAGGACAGACATTATATATACAGTCACAGGAACACAAGTGACACAGAGTTAACTAGCACCGACATTGCCTATATAATCACAGGAACACAAATGACAAAGATTTAACTAGCACAGACATTACATATACAGTCATAGGAACACAATATGTACATAGATATAACTAAGTGCATGTTCTATTCTTAAGCAAATCACTAGATTTTTATAAAACGGAACAACTAATGATTTTTTGACTACCAACAGGACGGCCGGGGCACACATAAAAATGAAACTGTCCCTGTGAAAGCAGGACGTATGGTCACAATAAGATAGCAACCAAAGAAAAAAAAGCAATATTACCTGTATGTGTTAAGCTGTAAAAGAACGGCCAAAGCACAGGACAACTGGGTACTCAGGCAAACCAGTGCTTGAAACTGGGTGATCTCCCCTGCTGCTAGAGGCCTGGTCTTGGTTCTTGCAACCTGCACCACAAAATACAGGTGGAGCTGTCAACTACCACAGAGATTACATATGGAGTCACAGTAGCCCAGGTGTTAACTAGCACAGACAAAACATATACAGTCACAGGAACACAAGTGACACAGAGTTAACTAGCACAGACATTACATATACAGCCACAGGAACACAAGTGAAACAGAGTTAACTAGCACAGACATTACATATACAGCCACAGGAACACAAGTGACACAGTAATCTAGCACATTTATTTGAAATAGTCACTGAAACACAAGTAACACAGAGTTAACTAGCACAGACATTGCCTTTACAGTCAAATGAACACAAGTGACACAGAGTTAACTAGCATAGACATTGCCTATATAGTCACAGGAACACAAGTGACACAGAGTTAACTAGCACAGACATTGCATATACAGTCACAGAGTCAACTAATTGGGAGCTTTCTTCAAAGTCTGAGTGCACCTTCCTGAAAGAATGTTGAATGGTGAATTAAGAATCGACCATAAAGCACTCAGACACTCCCATAAGCAGTCCGTTCCCATCTTCAGCAGAAAGCGAAGAGTTCCAATTCCAATGGTACCAGTAACTGTCTGATTGTATATCCGTCTCACCTTTCCTTTGAGTGTTGACCAGATCCCCTGGTAACTCCCCGCAGCGCTATTCTCCTCAGACGGTAAGGACCTATTTGTGCCTTTACCCCGTTCACACTTCCAAAGGGTCCTCAGTCACAACATCTAGCATGTTATGCATCAATTTATCACCAACTGGTGCAGAACCGTCCAGTCTATCTGCTGACTCATTTCCCAACACACCAGCATTACCTGGGGAAAATATCCAAAGAACTCTAACCACCGAGGACCTCTATAGCATGGCTCACCACTGCATGACTGTCCCCACCTTTCTCAACATACTCTGTGTGTACAGCTGATTCTCAATCCTGAGAGAAAGGACTCAGCAGTCTGCATACAAATAAGCCAGATCTATTAAATGGATGTGCATGCAACAGTGAGGTTCTGGAACAAGACTAAAGTCCAGAGGTGGACAAATAACCAGAACTTTCCTCAGAATTTACAGACAGTGAACACGCAGAAGAAGAACGAATGCTTACAGAAGACATTAGTTTAGATGAAATAACATGTGTAAGAATGTATGAACATGGAACTAGGAGTTATTCCAGAAAAGACGTATGAGGGAAGAGAAACATGTGTGTATAATTAGTGTGCTACAGGAATAGTTAGTTAGCATCAACACCAGGGCGCTTCAACTGGCGGCCTGTATGCTAAATTTGGCCCGCAAAAGCCTAGAAAGTGGCTTGCGGATCATTGCAAAATGAATTGGATTAATGATCTTTCTATGTGAGAGCTCAGCCCTCTGGCTCTCGATGATCCCAGTTTTCAATATTTTGGCCCCTGAGCTGACTAGTCCTGATCTACACCTTAAAACATCTGCTGCATGAGTTGGCACAATTAATGGATATGCCTGGTGTGTTATGATGTCAATTCTCAAATCAGCAATAGATATGTTGCTGTATTTAACAGCACATTTTGAAATGACACAATGATGGCATCCGTGTAATCTATTCACATATGAAGCAATGAAACAGACACAAGTTACTTACTTTGCTGTCATAGTCCTTGTCCCACATATCATTGATAATACAACCAGCACCTCGCATGAAAAATGCCCCAGCCCCAAACAGAGCCAACATTTTCAAATCTGGCAAGCATCCTGGTTGTGCGGCAAGGGCGATACTCCAGGTGCATGGCCAGTAGAGCAGCCAGGTGCCTAGATCAGCAACAAATATGGTCAGTAACATGGCTACTGCTCAGAGCAATATGACAAAATTATTGTCTTCTTCTTCTTTGCATTCACCAGCGGTACACTCTGGCGGAAAGTTCTGGTTGTTCATAAATTTCTGGACTGCAGTCCTGTTCCAGAACCTGAGTGTTGCGTGTGCATCCGTTTTACAGATCTGACTCATTTGTATGCAGACTGCTGGTTTCTTGCCTCTCAGGCAGATGCACTCTAACTTTGAAGGAAGCTCCCAATTAGTTGACTCTTATGACATGCTTTTAGGTAGGCAGTGGGTCTATTCTTGTTTTCCCTATAATAGGGCTCCAGAACCCACACGGGGAATAAATTATTGTATTTCCCCAAGTATAAGATAATCCCATGTATAAGACACACCTTGATTTTGGGACCAAAAATCTGGAGAAAAAAAATAATACGATTACAAAACAATCTACTACCACTTTATAAGATACACTGTTTGTAGACCCTATATTTTTGGAAAATAAGTATGTCTTCTTCTTCTTCAAGTATATGGCATGTGGCAATGATAATAATCTCTATAAGCTATGATGTTAAATTGTCCAGCATCTTTTCTCTCCGTCTCCCTCTGACTCTCATCCACTCCAACTTTCCCAGTGACACGATGTACTCCAATTTTCTCCTTTTCATCACATGATCCAAGAATGTAGATTGCTTCTTTCTGATGTTGGCAATTAGTTCTCTTTGTGAGTCAGTTTCTTTCAAGACATATTCATTACTTTATTTATCTGTACAGAGTATTCTCATCATTTATCTATAAAACCACATCTCTGCAGCTTCCAAATAGGTTTTCACTAATTTAGCAACTGTCTAGAATTCACTTTTGTGTATCAAGATATGAATTATGTAGCTTTTAAGAATTCTTTTGCTCGTCTCAAATATAGTAATGGGCCCACTATTAGCACTCTTAAAAGTAATGATCACCGAAAATTTGAGGTAAGTACAACATTTATTAACAATTCCTTCTCTTTTATAGTGGCTGCCCAGTTGTGTTGTGATGTACAGATAAGCTATGATATCTGCATTAACAAATTAAATTTCAGAAAACTTCAATTAGCCATCTTTCAGGACATGTTTGTTAAAAGTGATGTCTTCTTCTCAACATTCACTGGCTGTAAACTGTGGCAGACAGTTCTGGTTGTTCATTCCACTTATGAATTTCTCCTGAACTTGAGCTTTGCGTGCACATCTGTTTTACAGATCTGGCTTATTTGTATGTAGACTGTTAGTTCCTCGCCTCTCACGCAGATGCACTCCAACTTCAAAGGATACACCCCTAATTAGGCGACTTTTACCACTTTCACTGGAGTTTACAGCTGGTGAATGTGAAGAAAGAAGAAAGATACCTCATACAACACAGGCTTTTTCTCCTTCGTTTTCACTGGCTGTAAACTCCAGCGGAAAGTTCTGGGTGTTCGTCCACATCTAAACTTTAGTCTTGTTCGTGAACCTGAGTGCTACCTGCACATCCGTTTCACTAATCTGGCTTATTTGCATTGACCTGTGGTTCTATGTCTCTCAAGCGGATGTACTCCAACTTCGAAGGATGTCCCCAATTAGTCGACTCCTACGACATGCTTGTTGGGGAGGCAGTGAGTCTATTTTTGTTCCTCCCCCCTCCTCCACGAGGAATAATACATACTGAGAATCAGGCATGATGATTGCTTTATTGACTTGTTTCACATCAAAGGAAGAACCAATCATATGGTTATGTACTTACCTATTGGCTTGTCAAATCTGATCAGTCTGAGATAAGGCTGAAGTGATGCAGGGGATGCCTCCAAGATCAACTTGGCTGGGGAAAAACTGCTGAATCCCTGCTGTGATTTATACCTATACAACACATTTTGGTGACTTAAAAGGTGTTTGTCAGATGAACAGTTAGCTGTCTTTGCTCCTCCTTGGGAAGAAGAGAGAAATGAGGCTGTGATATGATGGTAGCCAGCCAATGGTGGTAAAGTTGTCGAGAAACATCTACGAAACACATATGGAGCAGCTCCACTTAACTGCTTTAAATGTCTTGACATCATTTGGAAACGACAATTCAGAGCTGGTAATTCAAACATAAAACTTGAAAAGCCTTCCTTGTTGTGATCATAAAGCTCTGTTTAGAAATCTGCCTGGGAAACAGTGACTGCGTGATTAATTAGCCAATCATCTACCTGCTGTCTGGGCCTTGGAATGTTAGGATATATTTGTCTCTTGCTGTGTACGAATGACCTCTGGTGCACTCAGTGCCAAAGTTATTCTTTCTGGCTTAATACTTCTCAACAACACAGATTGACAGGCAGAAACCGTGAGTGGCATGGTTGGTCGCTGCTCTGTGAGTAAAACAAAACATGAATAAATCATCATTGTAACTAAACAAAGACACATAAGTGAAGAAAACACAATTACGACCAACCAACGTTAAAAAATAAGTAACAAAATTTTTTTTTCACAAAAGACAGTGAAACAACATAAATGAAGAAAACATAATCGTAAGCATGTTCTAGTTTGTATGATGCATCATTTGTTGAGTTATAACCAGGGCTTTTCATCTGGTGCAACGCAACGATACACAGTACCGGCACCTTTATACAAATTTATTTTTCTGCACTACTGAGACATAGAGACACTTTGTGATTAGTATGGGCACTTGTTTTAAAAAGTCCTGCTGTAATAGACACTTTGTGGGTTGCCTGAGAACCTTTTTTTTTTATTTTACACACCTTGTGATGGGTGTCGGCTCTGTGGCTAAGTCGATGCGAATGCTTCGTAATGCCGGGTTCAATCCCAGCTGCGGGCCATACGCCTTGCGTTGGTTTCGACAGTGGTATCAAGAAAGCCGACCGTCCAAAAAGCAATGGCAAACTACTGGACGTAAATTTGCCTAGAAAAACCACACAACAGCCAGGGGCTGTTGGGGTTGGTTCTGCAACGTCCTGTAAAGGATACACAACTAACCTTGTGGTGGATACCAGCATAGGGTGACGACCATTATATCTTTAGCTGAAAACGGGACATCCCAAGCAGTTCATTCTAACCTCCCCTTCCCCACTCCCCCTTTTCTTACTAGGTCACTTGTGTGAATGAGTTAATTACTCGCTAGAGAATGGTATTAAAACCAGAACCACAGTCACTAAGAAATAAGCAAAACAATATGTGGGAGGATGAGGGGGGAGCATGCTACAATGAAAATTCCCATCAACACATTTCAGGAATCAAAAGTATCTAAAACTATTAAATATAACAAGGCAGTCATATATAACTTTAAGTGTATTCTTGAGCTTTTTCCTATACTTTGTTTTGTTTATGAAACGGGACATTTGGCGTTTATGTGGAGTACCTGGGGAAAGGAAAATGGAATTTCTGGTCACCCTATACCAGTACCTTTTTTTCTATGGAAAAGAAACAGAAAAGAGTTCTAGTTATAACTAGTTTAACTGTCCTCTGTTATTAAAAGATTTAATAATGACCTGGCTTCCAGATCGGTCATCTTGTTAGAAAAAACTGACTTCTTAACATTCACCAACTTTAAACTGAGGGCAAAAAGTTCTGTGTTCGACCACCTCCTGTCTTAAGACTGGTTCCTTAATCTCAATGTTACATATAGATCAGTTTCATAGATCCAGCTTTTGTCTGCAGATTCTTGTTTCATTGCCTCTCAGAAAGATGTAATCCGACTTTAAGGGATTCTCCAAATTAGTCAACTCCTACAACATGTTTGTTGGGGGAGGGGGGGGGGGGGGGGGGTTTATTCTTGTTTTCCCTATAATGGGGCAGTGGATTTATTCTTGTTTTCCCCATAATGAGGCAGCGGGTTTATTCTTGTTTTCTCCATAATGAGGCAGTGGTTTTATTCTTGTTTTCTCCATAATGGTGAAGTTTTATTCTTGTTTTCTCCATAATGAGGCAGTGGTTTTATTCTTGTTTTCTCCATAACGAGGCAGTGGTTTTATTCTTGTTTTCCTCATAATGAGGCAGTGGTTTTATTCTTGTTTTCCCCATAATGAAGCAGTGGTTTTATTCTTGTTTTCCCTATAATGGGGCAGTGGATTTATTCTTGTTTTCCCCATAATGAGGCAGTGGTTTTATTCTTGTTTTCTCCACAATGGTGAAGTTTTATTCTTGTTTTCTCCATAATGAGGCAGTGGTTTTATTCTTGTTTTCTCCATAACGAGGAAGTGGTTTTATTCTTGTTTTCTCCATAATGAGGCAGTGGTTTTATTCTTGTTTTCTCCATAATGGGGCAGTGGTTTTATTCTTGTTTTCCCCATAATGGTGAAGTTTTATTCTTGTTTTCCCCATAATGGGGCAGTGGATTTATTCTTGTTTTCCCCATAATGGGGCAGTAGGTTTATACTTGTGTTTCCTCATAATGTGGCAGTGGTTTTATTCTTGTTTTCTCCATAATGGTGAAGTTTTATTCTTGTTTTCTCCATAATGAGGCAGTGGTTTTATTCTTGTTTTCTCCATAACGAGGCAGTGGTTTTATTCTTGTTTTCCTCATAATGAGGCAGTGGTTTTATTCTTGTTTTCCCCATAATGAAGCAGTGGTTTTATTCTTGTTTTTCTCATAATGAGGCAGTGGTTTTATTCTTGTTTTCTCCATAACGAGGCAGTGGTTTTATTCTTGTTTTCTCCATAATGGTGAAGTTTTATTCTTGTTTTCTCCATAATGAGGCATTGGTTTTATTCTTGTTTTCTCCATAACGAGGCAGTGGTTTTATTCTTGTTTTCCTCATAATGAGGCAGTGGTTTTATTCTTGTTTTCCTCATAATGAGGCAGTGGTTTTATTCTTGTTTTCCCCATAATGGTGAAGTTTTATTCTTGTTTTCCCCATAATGGGGCAGTGGATTTATTCTTTTTTTCCCCATAATTGGGGTAGTAGGTTTATTCTTGTTTTCCCCATAATGGGGCAGTAGGTTTATTCTTGTTTTCCTCATAATGGGGCAGGGGATTTATTCTTGTTTTCCCCATAATGGTGAATTTTATTCTCGTTTTCCCCATAATGGGGCAGTGGATTTATTATTGTTTTCCCCATAATGGGGCAGTGGATTTATTCTTGTTTTCCCCATAATGGGACAGTGGGTTTATTCTTGTTTTCTCCATAATGGGACAGTGGGTTTATTCTTGTTTTCTCCATAATGGAGCAGTGGTTTTATTCTTGTTTTCTCCATAATGGGGCAGTGGATTTATTCTTGTTTTCCCCATAATGGGGCAGTGGATTTATTCTTGTTTTCCCCATAATGGGGCAGTGGTTTTATTCTTGTTTTCTCCATAATGAGGCAGTGGTTTTATTCTTGTTTTCTCCATAATGAGGCAGTGCGTTTATTCTTGTTTTCCCCATAATGGGGCAGTGGATTTATTCTTGTTTTCTCCATAATGGGGCAGTGGATTTATTCTTGTTTTCTCCATAATGGGGCAATGGATTTATTATTGTTTTCTCCATAATGAGGCAGTCGGTTTATTCTTGTTTTCCCCATAACGAGGCAGTGGGTTTATTCTTGTTTCTCCCATAATGGGGCAGTGGGTTTATTCTTGTTTTCAAAACAATGGGGCAGTGGGTTTATTCTTGTATTTCCTATAATTGGGCAGTGGGTTTATTCTTGTTTTCCCCATAACGAGGCAGTGGGTTTATTCTTGTTTCTCCCATAATGGGGCAGTGGGTTTATTCTTGTTTTCAAAATAATGGGGCAGTGGGTTTATTCTTGTTTTCCCCATAATGGGGCCCTGAAACCCACATGAGGAAAAAGTGGATACCAAGAAATGTTCTGAGAAGTAAAAATGGTAGACACGACAATGATCATATGTCCCACCAATGCCTGAATGGTCAAATAACAGATAATACTACTAGCCCAACAAATGCTTGCCTGTGGATCCTAAGGCCGTATGTTCAGATCCTGACAGAGCCAGACTATTTTTTTTTTTTGTGTGTTGGAGATCCATGACAGTCTGCTGTCATTGTAGAGGCAGCGCCAGCACCCTAAATATAATCCTCTTTGTAGTCTAGGTGTTCATACAAATTCCAGAACTCAGATTATCTCGGGGAACAAATCATATACAGTAAAACCGAGTTAACATGAACCTGCTTAAGAATAACACTGAGTTAAAGTAAACAAAATTGTGGCCCCAGAAGGAATGAAGTTTACTTGGCTTTCCTCTGAACATCTACCCAATATTATGGCGGCCATAAAACATCCTTAGGGGGCTCAGGGATATGTAAAATGCGGACTTTCTGCCAAGGAACAAATCGCGGCAAAACTAGGATTACTTGACAATTTCAAGAGACGCAACATAGCAGATGATATTAATTGGAGGAAGTTGCAGGAGATGCTGTAGCTGCTGCTCGTGAGTCCCAGGCATCTAGTTCAGCCCCATGCGGCGCGGGAGATATGGTCGGTGGTGAGGCATAGTCACAGAAACAGGTCCGCATGTAACATATCGCTAAGACCCTGTTAAAGCACTTGTTTTGTTATACGGAGCCGGCATATTTTTAATAGAACTGAGCCCCGTAAGGATATTTTATGGCCGCCATAATATCGGGTAGAAGTTCGAGACGAAAGCCGTTTACTTAATTTTTTTCTAAAACACTAAAAAGTTGGGCCAAAAGTTGAAATCCCAACAGCTGAATTTCACTTTGTCAGCTCTATCCAGAATATTATGTCGTCCTTTTATTTTATATAAATTAGACGGCTATCCTCCGACTAACGGTCAGCAAAGATGGCGGCCGAAAAATGTCGAGTCGAGCCACAGTCACGTGTCTATTGCGCACTTGCGGTCACGAGCACATCGCAGCAAAACTAGGATTAGTGTCTATTGACAATTTCGAGAAACGGAACAAACCGTCGAGTTAAACTCGCCGCCGAGAGTCTCCCCCGCACCACTACGCGCGGTGCGGATGGGGCTAAACTAGATAGCTGGGACCCACAAGCAGCAGCTTCCGCATCTCCTGCAGCTTTGCTCGTGAGTCCTAGCCATCTAGTTTAGCCCCAAATCCACGGCGCTCACGCGACATGGGGGCTACTCTCGGCGGTGGCAGTAGTCGCCGGAAAACCGCAAATTAAGTCGCTGAAAGTTCGA